TTTCATAGGGTTTATACGGAGAACAATACTGTATAACTGTAACAATTCAACTGTAAACCTAATAATTTATAGCCAATTTTGAAAGAGAAGCATCTTAGCTCTGGAAATTGTTATTGAAAATGTCAATGCTGTTGTAATGAAATGCTTCTTCTAATTATATGGTTATTAAATAAATAATTTAAAAATACATATATTTTATGTGTATGTGTGTATTATCTGCTATGTATGGAAGTACACCCGTGTCATGCAATGCCCGCGGAGGTCAGAAGAGGGCGTCAGATCCCCTGGAACTGGAGTTACAGACAGTTGTTAGCTGCCATGTGGGTGCTGGGACTCGAACCTGGGTCTTCTGCAAGAACATTCAGCATTAAGTGCTGAACCATCTCTCTAGCCCCACAAATAAAATTTAAAAAAAAAAAAAAAAAAAAAGCATGGTTCTGTAAGCTTGCCCCCTCCCTCTACTAGCGCATATTCAGGAATTTTTCACTGTTTTCTAAGCTTTCATGCAGGGGCTAAATTGTTCCTTTATGCTCCTCTATTAAGGACTCTGGTTCTTATACCTGTAGGTCTTGTCTCTTTCTCTCTAGTTGCACCTGCACTCCTTTAAATTTTCAAGTTCCCTCCACTCAACTTCTATCCTCTCTTTGCACATATACTATCATTCTGAATTCTCGGTTTCTGTCAAGATCCTACAGTTTGGGCCATCTCTGTTGAAATCTTTGTATGACATACTAATTCTAGTGAATGAAGCCAAGTACCATAATAAAGTTGAATCCCAGTTCAGTCATGCCTTTGGGTATTATTTTTAACTAAACTACAAGTTTCCTGACAAATAATTTGATGAGAACGTATTAAAATAAACATTTATTTGGTAAACCATCTTACTGAGTCACAATTTCTTACTTCAGTAACAGAAAGTACAATTTCAATCAATCACTTCTATCAAAAACCTACTCCAAAACTGAAGTACCAAAACCCCTTGAATTACATTACTATAAGGAGAAAACATTTACTAAACTTCCACAGGAAGACTGCGTAAATCTGGCAATGGGTAAGTACATAGTAGACAATACTCAAAAGTACTACCCAAGCTCAAAAATTATTGAAAATCCAAATTTAATAACCATTTTGTGCTTAATAAAACTCAGGAAATTATAATCTCATGTAACATTATTAGTTACATCATATAAACTGATACAATCCAAAAACATAAAGTGAACAATCTGGATTTCAAATCCAATAGGTAAGTTACCAGATAGATATAATAAGAATTTTTAAAAGCAATCTTTTAGCTCTAATTTAAAACAAACATTCAGCACTGGAATCTTCAGAATTTTCTAGTATCTTGAATATCCCCGTTTTCTCTTTAACTGAGCTTGAGGCCTTCATTTGATCTGAGAGAGAAATATTAAAACAGATACTTTTTAAAGTGTAGCGATCACAAGAGATTTCCAATAACAAGTGTCTCAATATAAAAACCTACAGAAACGTAGGTTTTGTTTTTATTACACATGGGAAACAATATGAATTATCATTTTCCTAGTCAAAATCTCCTTTTGAATTTAGGACACATATATACAAAGCTATAGACAGAATAGTAATCTGAACTATGTTCTCAGAGACATTATAAAAGGGACAATTATGGTTATTTTGAGAAGACACTGAAAGTCAGCTTCATAACCATTCAGAAACAGTGCAAAGTTTTATTTATGGTGTCATGTGTTCCACAGAATCTGACATTAACAAAAATCTTTTTTTTTCCGCAGTGAGCCCTGTATTTTGTGTGTGCTGTATACACAGGTGTGTGTGCATACATGCACATACTCCAGGAGGCACAAAGCAAAAGTCAGGGGAAGATATCGTCCACTGTTCATTGCTCTCACTCTCTGCTTTATTCCCTGAGACAGTCTATCAATGAACCTGAAGCTAGGCCAAAGGCTAGCAAACACCAGCAATTCTGTCTCCATCTTTACACCATATGCAATGGTTGTATCCAAGCCCAGTTTTTATACAAGTTCTAGGAATTTGAACTCGGGTCCTCATGCTTGCACAGCATACTCCTTGAGTATATCTCCAGCCCCAGGAGCTCTGTATTTTATTTCATAATTCTTTATCCTGTTGGACACGGTAGTGCACACCTGTAATCCCATCCTTGAGAGCAATTTCAATTCTTATTTTACTCCTCTAGTCTATTATCTTGATTATTTAGGACTTCCTTCTAACTGTAAAAGTGACAGCTATTACCCTTTGCTAGTCTTGAGTTTAGTAGTTAATTAGTGCACTTGAATCATGAAATGCCCACATAGACCAGAAGAGGCCATCAAATCCCCTGCAACTGGAGTTAGGAATGTTGTTACCCACACCATGTGGGTGTGCTAGAAACTCAACCTAGGTCCTTTGGAAGAACAGCAGTGCTCTTAACCACTAAGCCATCTCTTGTGCCCCAACTTTTGATTTTTTGTAATCAATAATATTACTTAGGATTTGGTCACACTGTTGTCCTTCTATCTCACTTTTCCCTAAACTATTTCAAGTTAATATTCACATAAATAGCAAACAATTCAGAATACCTTAAACTATCTACAGAAGAAATAAAAAGACATGTCTCACAAAGCTACAGTAATCTAGTAGTATAGTATTAGCATGAAATCAATACACAGAGCCAGGCATGATGACACATGCCTTTAATCCCAGCACTTAGGAGGCAGAGGGAGGCAGATCACCTTGAAACCAGGCCAGCCTGGTCTACATAGTGAGTTCCAGGAAAGCTAAGGCTACAGGGAGACCTTGTCTCAAAAAAACCAAAAAAAGAAAAAAGCAAAATGACCCACACAGAATTAAAAATGCAGAAAAAAAAAAAAATCCAAATTCATAATCGACTGATTTTCGATAAAGATGACCAACAGGAAAACAATAATTTTTTTAAACAAATGGCACTGGAACAATTGACAATGGAAAGCAAAGCAAAAGAATTCAGAATTTTCTACCCAAAAAAAAAGAAAAAGAAAAAGAAGAAAAACAAAAACAAAACAACTCTAATAGGTAACAAACCCAAAATAAGTAAGTTAGAACTGCAACACTCTTGAAATTTTATGACCTTGGTTCTTACAAAGATTAACTCAGAAAAAACACCAAAGATTTGGTGTGACAGTAAGATTTTGTAAAAACGTACTTGTGGTTATAATGCCATGACAACTGAAATTAAGAGTTTCATTTTCCAACAAAACAAAAACATGAACAAAACAGGACTGAGTAAAAATGTTGGGAAAGATTATGGCTGAATACACGGAACCAGGATTTTTATTATGCTAGTCTCTGTGGTATTTTTCAAAATTATCATTTTAAAAAAACTTACCAAGGAGATCACTTCGATCTAATAACAACTCTAGATCTTTATCACTGATGACCTTCTCCTTTGATCCTTTAATTTCCCTATAAAAAGAACATTCAAAAATGTAAGAATACACCACAACTACGTATTACATTTTTCTAAATTAAAAGTTTACTAGGGGCTGGAAAGACAGCTCAGTGGTCAAGAGCACTAGTTAGGCTTGCAGAGGAACCAGTTTAAGTTCCTAGTACCCACATGGCAGCAACACAAGGGTCCATAATTCCAGTTCCAGAAGGATCATAAATTTCTAAAAAGGAAAAGCATAGTGGCCCATGCCTTTAATCCCAGCACTCAGGAGACAAAGGGGGATGATCTCTGTGAGTAAAAGGCCAGATTGGTCTACAGGGGGAGACATGACATCCAGGGTTACATAGTGAGATCCTGTCTCAAAAAACAAAACGGCTTTCCTTTCGCAACCATCGCTAAAGTGGCAGCCACCAAAATGAAGTTCAATCCCTGTGACTTCAGCCCAAAGCAAGAACAGTAAAAGGCTATTTCAACGCACCTTTTCACATTCAGAGGAAGACTATGTCCTCCTCTCTTTCCAAAGCTCCTATGCTCATTTGAAAGGATGATCAAGTTCAGGTTGTATGAGGGCACTACAAAGGTCAGCATATTGGCAAAGTGGCCCAGGTGTACAGAAGAAATATGTCATCTACATCAAGCAAGTATAGCAGGAAAATGCTGGCCCAAGTGTCCATGTGGGCATTCACACCAATAAGGTGGTTATCACCAGCCTAAAGCTGGACAAAGACTGCAAAAAGATTCTGGCAGACAGCCAAATCTCATCAAGTAAGAAAGGAAAAGGGCAAATACAAGGAAGAAATCATCAAGAAGATGCAAGTAAAGAGTGTCTTACATTCGACTTCCATTAAAAACTGCTTGAATGAAAAAAAACAATTTACCTTTCATAATCTCGAGATTTTAATAACTCCATTAATTCCTTAGGATCTAAGAAATTCTTAGATTGATTTAATCCAGACTGACCACCTTTGAAATGATCTAGAAGAAAAATTCAGGATATTAAAATTCCTTTTAAAAGTATAATATTACAACCCAATGAGATATCCCTGCTACTGTCTGCTATGTTGTTGGCACCCTCAGCCGTTCCCCACTACTTGTCCAACTGGTGAATCTAGTCAGCCTATCTAGAGGTCTTTGTTTTAGGAAGGTCAGCTCTTCCTCATCTAGCAGCAATCAGTTGTCAATATTCCTTTGGATAAGATTGGGGTCTGCTGTTCATTTTCCCAGTTCTATGCTGGGTTACTATCTGGGAGTCCCTTGGGCCACCCTGGCCAACAACTCAAAAGAAGGTATCTCCTATCTGGCATTGTTGCTTGTTATGTAGCCTTTAGCTATGCATATAGACTCTTAAAAAATTATATTGGCCCCTTTAATCTTTGGTTATACTTTCCTTTTGGGTTAAGGCCATACAGTTGGCCCAGATAAACCAATTTATTTTTACTCTTTAAGGTCGTTTGAGGATCTGTTCTTCAGGGGTCACAAAAACCCATATAAAGTTTGAACTACACACATGGGAACCCACCTACCCACACCATAACAATAACACATACAAAATAATGCTCTTCTGTTCTCTGCAGTCACCAGACATACACATGGTACACATACAGGCATGCAGGCAAAGCGTTTATGAACATAAAGTAATGGTATAAATAAATTTTAGAAAAAAGGAAGAATCATTTACTTTTATGGATGATCAGTTTCTCCAGTTTTCTTTTAGTAGCTGCTCTTTCCACAATTTTCTGATCAATAGTATTTGCTGTTACAAGGCGATATACAACAACCGGCTTTGTCTGACCAATTCTATGACATCTATCCTGGGCCTGAAGATCAGACTGGGGATTCTAACAGTTGATAAGAAAATAGAGTTAAGAGTATTAGGTTAAAGCTAACTTAAATGCATGATAAATTAATAATAAATGCAAATGATCCACGAGAAACTTTTTAATGGTACCTAAAATCAATGTAGGCTTCCAGAATGGCTTCATAAATTACTATTCACGAACACTTGACACTTGCTCCATATAGAGGCCAGTAAGATGACTAAGACACCACCAAGCCTGATGGTCCGCTTGCATGCTATGGCACATGCATGCACACGTTCACATGCACACACACACACAAACACACACAATAAATGTAATTCTGAAAACTAAATGATTCCTGTCCGAAATTGAGTGGTTTTCTAAATAGATAAATGAATTCTAGCATTATTTAATGAGGGATTTGAATTTCAGAACAGGAGATAGAGAGATGGCTCAACAGTTAAGAGCACTGGTTGCTGCTCTTGCAAAGGACTGGGGTTCAGATCACAACACCCACACAATAGTAACAACCATCTGTAACTTTAGTTTGAGGGGATCTGATGCCCTCCTCTGAACTCTGCTGGCACTTCATATCAAGGGTGCACTTACAAACATGCAGGTAAAACATTTATAAACATAAAAAACAGAAAAAATTTCAAAGGCGAAATATAGTCAGCTGTTTAACTTACCCAATCACTGTCATAAATGATAACTGTATCTGCTGCAGTCAAATTAATGCCTAAGCCACCAGCTCGTGTGCTCACTAAGAAAAGGAAAACATCTGGATCCATGTTGAAACTGTAAATCTAAAGCAAAAGGGATATAACCATAACAAATTAAAAGAGAAACTAACCAAGACTGGGATAAAGGGGATTGTTTTTAATAACCAATGTTGAAAATTTCCCCAACAGAACCAGGAAATAATCACAACAGTTAATAAAATATCTGCTTATGTAAAGTTTGCTTTTCAAGCATTTATATTATAGAGGATATTTTAATTTTGTTAGCAGTATTATCACAAGAAGTTGAAATAATAAGAACCCGCCAAGTAAACATTAGGACCTGAGTTCACATCACAAGCACCCATGTAGAAGATTGAGTTGTGGCCCTTGTCTCTAATAGCTGGTAGAATAGAGGGAAGTACAAGAGACACTGTAGCTCACTGGCTGGCCAGCCTAGTCAATCCACAAGGTTCACATAAGACACCCAATGTCAACCACCGCCCCAGCACATACACAATTACACAAACATGTCTATATACCATAAACACACACACACACATATAAATCATGAAAATAGAGGATCAGTGGAAAGAGTTGTCTGATTAGGAGGAAGTACATTTTCGGGGCAGAAGGTAATTTCTATCTAAATAGTGCTATGAAACATATATGTATGTCAAAACCAACAATACATATTTTCATTTGCTTAATGATATGTAAACTTAATAAAAAGTTATACCATCCATAACTTAAATGTGTTAAGAGGACAGATAGCCATGTGTAGTGGCTCACATTTCTAATTCCAACACTCAGAAGGCTAAGGCAAGAGGACTAATGCAAGTCTGAGGCCAAATGGGGCTAATACTGCAAGTTTAAAGTTGTCTTGTACTGTATAAGAAAACTCACTCAAAAATCACTGAAGGTGTGACAGTTTAATGGGTAAAGGTGCTTACCTCCAATCCTGACTACCTGAGTTTGATCCCTGGAACCCATCATGTAGTACTCAGATGATGGAAGGATACAATAATTACCTAAAGCTGTCCTTTGATACCCACAAATAAGCAGGCCACATGCATGGCCACAAATTGTTAAAAAACAAAAACTGAGGATGGAATGTGGCATGGATGCTATGGATTTATCATAGGTATATGATGAAAAGTTACAGTAAAATATCAATGGCAAGGTCTAAGTAGAATAATAGTAGCTAAGTATAAAATTCTTCCAACTTTACTACATGCTTGAAATTTTCCTAATAAAAAGCACAGAACTGGGATAAAGTCAGCAAACAATGTCCAGTTATCCTATTCTTAAGTGGTAATTAAATAGGATATCTTTATATATACAACAGTGCCAGGTGGTTACATATTTATGCACAGATATGAAAATCAAACACTATGATTCGTTAGTACTGAACATTTTAAAATACTTGTTCTTGCAAGGTCACTGGTCATGCCTGCCTCTTGTCAATTTATATGTGTATCTTACATACTATCCAAGATCAAAATAGAAGATACAAAAAAGAAACTCGTATGTATGGTCTTACATTTTTTTCTCTTGCTGAATAAGACATGGACCCATCAAGCCTGCTAAAAGTGAAATTTCTAAGCTGGCAGTAATCCATCAAAATGTCCAACATTCTTGTCATTTGTGAAAAAACCAGCACCTGAAATTTAAATACTTTAATAATTATATTGATTCATAAGAAGCTAAATGATAAAAATTCCAAACAATATATTACCTTGTGACCTCTTTTTTTAAGTTCTGGCAGCATTCGATCCAAAACTAAAAACTTCCCAGAATTTGTTACCAATTCTTCATCAATCTTGAAAGTGAACAAAAAGGGAAAAAATTATCACTATAATTACCAAGTATATATTTTATAAAATGAAAAACATTTGAATACTTCAATTTTTTTTTTTCTGTCTTTTTGAGACAGGGTCTCCCTGTAGCCCCAGCTGTCCTGGAACTCACTATGTAGACCAGGCTGGCCTCTAACTCACAAAGATCCGCTTGCCTCTGCCTCCCAAGTGCTGGGATTAAAGGCGTGTACCACCACGGCCGGCTTAATACTTCAATTTTTTTCAGCAGCTCTACTTTTAATGACAAATCATAAAATGCACCTTATTTTTAAATTATGTTACTCTTCAAGGAAAATACATGGAAAGAGTAAAACCAATGATCGAGTACAACTATGAATCTATCTAAGTCTTTCTAAGGCCATGCATGGTGGCACATACCTGTAATCCTAGCACTTAAGTAGAGGCAGGAGCATCAAAATCCAAGGCCAGGCTCAGCTACATACAGGGATTGAGGTCAACGTGGGATACATGAGATCCTTTCTTAAAAAAACGAAACGGGGGTTGGGGGGGAAGATGGCTTTGTGGATAAGAACACTAGCTGCTCCTGCAAAGGACTTGGGTTCATTTCCCAGCACCCACATGGAAGCTAACAACAATCCATAACTCCAGTTCCAGAGGATCCGACGCCCTCTTCTGGCCTCCAGACACTGCATGACATGGGTGAACCTACTTATGTGCAAGCAATACACTCATACATATAAAAATAATAAATAAAAAATATTTGTTAAAAGAATTGAAAAAAATGCTACCAGAACTCTTAGAAACAAAAGAAAATAAGCCAGGCGGCCTTTACAGCACTCAGGAGGCAGAGACAGGTGGATCTCTGTAAGTTCCAGGCCAGCTGGGGCTACAGGGAGACCCTGCCTCAAAAAGACCAAAAAAAAAAAAAAGCCAAGAAAACATTCAAATTTGAAAGCAATAGGTTAAAGAAACTTTTTACTAGGAATTGTAAGATGGCCCACGAAGTAAAAGCACTTGTGTGTACAAGCCTGAAAACTTGATTTTGGTCTCCAGAATCCACATGAAGATGGAAGGAGAACCAACTACAAAGTTTTCCTCTGACTTCCACATGCCTGCTGTGGCATGCATGTAAGCCTATATCTACATACACACATACAAGCTAAGTTTTTATTTTATTTTCTTAATTTTATTTATTATTTTTATTTTATGTGTATGAGTGTTATGCCTGCATGTAGGTAAGCGCACCCATGTTGTGCAATGCCCGCAGAGGATGGTAGAGGCTGTCAGATCCCCTGGAACTGGAGTTACGAACAGCTGTTAGCTGCTGGGATTCAAACCTGGGTCTTCTGCAAGAATAGTCGGTGTTCTTAAACTGCTGAGCCATCTCTCCAGCCCCAAAGTAAGTTTTTTTTTGTTTGTTTTTTGTCTTTTTGAGACAGGGTCTCTCTGTAGGCCCAGCTGTCCTGGAGCTCACTATGGAGACCAGGCTGGCCTTGAAAACTCACAGAGATCAGCCTGCCTTTGCCTCCCAAATGCTGGGATTAAAGGCGTGCACCACCACACCCAGCTTAAGTTTTTAAAAAAAAATATATATTCTGGGTCTGATGAAATGGCACAGCAGTTAAAAGCACTACTATTCTTTCTCTTTTTTTTTTTGGCCTTTGAGACAAGGTCTCTCTGTAGCCCCAGCTAGCCTGGAACTCACTATGTAGACCACATTGGTCTTAAACTCTCAAAGATCACCTGCCTCTGCCTCCCAAGTGCTGGGATTAAATAAAGACGTGCGCCACCATGCCCCACACTAAAGCATTGCTATTCCTATAGAGGACTGGTTTCATTCCCAGTACCGTATCAGGTGGCTCATAACTACTTTTAACTCTAGCTCCAGGAGATCCAACACTCTGCCCTCCTTTCCTTCTCGGGTATTCACACACATGTTCATTCGCAAACACACAAATTAAAAAAATTTTTTTTTTATTTTGATGAAAGTACCTCACAGAGTTAAGCAAATTTTATCTTTTTCCTTAGTCAAATAAGAGTACAAAGCAGTGGTTCTCAACTTTGCTTTTCATCTAAAGGGATATATAGGAACAACAGAGACATTCTTGGTTATCGCAAGTGAGGAAGGCGCACACTCATGGTATCCAGGTTAGAGATGCTACTAAATGCTCCATACCAACACAGTACATTACCCTAAGAATTATTTGGCTCAAATGTCAATACTCCCCTTCTGTTGTAAACTATAAAACATATAAGGACTACTAAGAACAACTTTTAACACTGTGGTTTTTTTTTTTCTATCAACTGACCAAGAATAAAATTTCATTCAATCTAATAGCGCCTAATTCTAATAAATTTTGGAATTCCTTATAGTTATTTTTTTGAGACTTTATGAGCTGGATTTTAAGAAGTAAAATGAACATGAAAAAAGTGACTAATAGTCTGAGCACAGTCTGAGCCTTTAATCCCCGCACTGAGTTCAAGGCCAGCCTGGGCTATATTATATAGCAAGACACTGTCAAAAACACTACTTTTTCTAAAATGAAGAGCTAGAGTTCCGAGTTTCTTTTTGGGGGGAGGAGGGGTCTTTTTGAGACAGGGTCTCCCTGCAGGCTCAGGTGGCCCAGAACTTGCTATGTAGACCAGGCTGACCTGGATCTCAGAGATTTGCCTGCTTCTGCCTGCCAAGTGATGGGATCAAAGGCATTTAACACCAAGCACAGCTTTATCAAGATTATAGAAATAGGTTGTTTCAACTAAACTTACGATAATTAATTCTTACCTATTTATATAAAATATATAAATATTAGCAATAAATATTAGCACACAGAAAATGACCATAATTCTAACCCTTATAAAGGTTTTCTATATTTGGAAGCAGGGGATTGTCACAGCTTACTCGGATATTATAATATCATACAGAAAACAGCATAAGTAGGCGTGGAGAAAAGGCTCAGTGGTTAAGAGCACATAACTCATCTGGCAGAGAAACAAACTGGTTCCTAGTGCCCACATCTGGTGGTTCAGAATCAGCTGTAATTCCAGCTCCGGGGGATCTGACACCCCCTGGCCTTCACAGGCACTGAACACCTGTGTACAAACCCACATATAAACCCAAACACAACACAGTTAACTAAAACATAAAAATAAGCCAGGCATGGTGGCACATGCTTTTAATCCCAGCACTTGGAAGGCAGAGGCAGGTGGATCTTTGTGAGTTCGAGGCCAGCCTGGTCTACATAATGAGTTCCAGGACAGCTGGGGCTACAAGGAGACCCTGTCTCAAAAAAGACAAAAAATAAAATAAAATAAATAAAACTTCAAAAGAAAACAGCATAGCATTTAAATAAATCAAACAGAATCTTCTGCCTCAAATAAAGAAGACTGCAGAAGCAAAACAGTCCATTACTCAATGGTATTTACCTTAAACTCTTGTGTGACAGGGTCTATAGGGTATTCAATCAGATATGGATGATTGCAGCACTTACGAAGAAGCATCATTATATTCTGCAGCTTCAGATTAACTTCAGATTCTACAGGGACATTCACTTCTGCAACAGTTCTACCAAAAACATAAAGCATAAAAATATAAGTATGACAAATATAAAAAACACAATTTAAATAGCAAACTTTGCTTTTAAACACATACCTTTCTCTGTTTGCCTCTGGCTGTATTTGACTTATTAGTTTTTCTAATTCATTGGGGAATTCATCTACTTGGCTGTAATTTATTGATTTTCTACTTCGCCGTTTTGGCCGTCCAGTAGGACTTAGCTCAACTATTTCTTTCTAAAAGGGAATACAAGAAAAGCATTATCTTTAAAAAAAAAAAAAAAAAAAAAAACTCACATATTGAAGTTCTATATATTTTATGTACAAAATGATATATAACATTTAAAGATATTTCTTTCAAGTTATATTTCTCAAAGTCAAAATTACCAGATCTATAGAAAATTTATAGACAAATGAAAACATTGAATACAATTGATTATAACTCTGACAATCTCAAAATAAGTACTTTAAGCTGCTTAGTAAGGAAAAAATTTAAACTTTTAAATTTTTAAGTCTCCCAATTCCACCAGGCGTGGTGGTGCACGCCAGTAGTCCCAGCACTTGGGAGGCAGAGACAGGCAGATCTTTGTGAGTTCAAGGCCAGCCTGGTCTACATAGTGAGTTCCAGGCCAGCTGAGGCTACGGGGAGACCATGTTTCAAGACGAGTCTCCTAATATTTTGTGACATAATTATACTTCTCATACTAACTCCTTTAAATTTTAGTTTTACGTTTATGACTATTTTGCCTGTAGTGTGTGCAATGCCCTCAAGGGCCAGAAGAGGGCGTCAGGTGTCCTGGAATTGTAGTTATAGATGGTTGTTGGCCACCATGTAGGTGCTGGGAACTGAACCTAGGACCAATGCAGGGCAGCCAGTGTTCAAGTTACCTCTCCAGCCCCACGGCAACTCTTTTAATACACTGGATGCTACATGGGAATTTCAAATACTCTGAATTCTCTTAGTTATTCCTATAAAGGAACCAAATAGTTTGAGGGACTGATCTCATTGATAAGCCTTGAAAATAGTGATTCTTAAATATTGTATGCTTGTTTAAAATGGATTTCAAGGAAGGGAGGGAAAAAGGGAAGGAGAGGGGAAAAGATTTCTAGGGGCAGTATCGGAGTAGGGACATACGAAACCTAAATCTGATCAAAATAAATGATATACCTGAATGAAAACCTTTTTTTGTTTTTTCCTTTTTTTTGAGAAAGGGTCTCGGTCTCCCTATGTTATGTAGCCAAGGTTGGCCTGGAACTTGCTGTGTAGACCAGGCTGGCCTTAATCTCAGAGATCTGCCTGCCTCTGCCTAGAATTAAAAGTATGTGCCACCATGCCTGGCCTTTGAATGAAAATCTTTGTGAAACCTGTTACTGAGTACAATTAATATATGCCAATGTAAAACAAAAACAAAAAACAACACAAAAAAAAACTTCCCAAGGTCCATTCTGGAAATGGTATAGTATGGTTAATCTGAGACAGAACTTTTTTTTTTTTTTTTTTAACTTTACAATACGAAGGATCATAAAACCCAGGGTCTTACATATACAGGAACACTAAGTTTTGAACAAGTATTTCACATAACCACAAAGCAAATAATGAACAGATGATCACTTAAACTTTAGCAGATTAGAGCTAAATAGGAAGCAACTTTAGCTTTTGGATTTCCTTATTCACCTGAAAACAGGTGAGGAGACATACAATTGAAATCAATCATGAAATGTATATGCCATCTCATTTACAGTTATTTCAAACCCATACTACCTCACAAGATCCAAACATGTTTGCAATTGTACGATTCACAATGGCTGTATAAAATATCTCTTGTTTGTTTGAAAGAGGCGCGTAAACAACTACTTCTCGTTTAGGAGGAACTTCAAGAGCAACATCAGATTTTAGTCTTCTCAGTAAGAAAGGGGTTAGAATCTAAAATGTAAGCATGAACAAGTATGAGCATTAATTATTCCTTTTTAGAGAATATTTTCTTTCTATAAAATACTGAGTTTCAAATGCCCCCTTGACATTTTCCCATTAGTACTTAATGATAAACTCACTATCCACAGCACTAAACAACTTAATGACCTTTTGAGATAATGTAATATTTATACTTCTAAAAGTTCTTGACTACAGCCCACTTTTTTTTTTTTTTTTCTTAGATGTCACTATACAGCCCCAGCTAGCCTGGAACTCATTATATTATATAGACTAGGCTGACCTCCAACTCAGGAAACACCGGCTTCTGCCTCCCAAGTGCTAGGCTTAAAGGCATGCATCACAATTCCCAGCCTAGACCACAAATTTTAAAGGTTTTAGACTAGTATAAAGGGAACCAACCTAGAGATGTAAGAATGTTTCCAGGCCAGGCATGGTGGCACACACCTTTAATCCCAGCACTCAGAAGGAAGAGGCAGGCAGATTTTTCTGAGTTCAAGGCCAGCCTGGTCTACACACTGAGTTCCAGGCCAGCTGGGGCTACAGAGAGACCCTGTCTCAAAAAGACAAAACAACAGCAACAACAACAAGACATGAATGATTCCTTAAGTTAGATTTCATATTGAAAATTAGCTGGGTGTGGTGGTGGCACGCCTTTAATGCCAGCACTTGTGAGGCAGAGGCAGACGGATCTCTGAGTTCAAGGCCAGCCTGGTCTACATAGCAAATTCAAGACACCTCCAGCTAGGACTAGAAGGAGACCATGTCTCACAAAAACCAAAAAAAAAAAAAAAAAAAAAAAAAAAAAAAAGATACTATCTAAAATGACAAATCTATAGAAGAAGCAATGCTACAGATTTAAAGACATGGATATAACATATCTGCTAGGATACATGCTTTTTCTAAGGCACAGTGCTGGAGGTACAGCTTCCTGGCCATGTACTTGCTAGCTTACACAATCCCCTGGGTTCAAGCCCAACACTATAAACAAGTCAATAGATGAAAGGTAAAAAGAAAATGTTACTTATACAGAAGAGGAAAAGCAAAGCTAGGCATGGTGGTTCACATCTTTAATCCCAGCACTCAGGAGGTAGAAGCAAGTGGATTTCTGTGAGATAGAGGCCAGGCCAATCTCCATAGCAAGATGCAGGCCAGCTGGAGACTGTCTCAAAAAGAAACAAAAGGAAGAGCAAGTACAACAGAAAAACAGAAATAAAGGAAATTTTCACTTTTCTTCCTGTTTTCATAATTTTTTTTTGGGGGGGGGCTCTTTTTGAAGCAGGGTCTCCCTGTAAGCACCAGCTGTCCTGGAACTATGTAGACCAGGCTGGCCTTGAACTCACAGAGATCCGCCTGCCTCTGCCTCCCAAGTGCTGGTACTACAGGCATGTACCACCATGCCCAGCCTGTTTTCATAATTTGAAAACTTTTTACCATTTATCATTTTTAGCTTTTGTGCTGTTGGGGATCAAATTCAGTGCCTTATGGATGTTCAATAAGAGCTTTACTACTGAGCTACATCTTCACCCCTACTTCTTTCAAGACAGGATTTCTGAAGACACCACTACTGAGCTATTTAGCTCAGCCTGACATTGAGCTCTATGTCCCAGGCTGGCTTTTAATTTGTGATCCTCCTGTCTATGCCCCCAGAGTATGTACTACCATGCCCAGCCCAAATCCTTTCAAAAAGAAAACACTGACACAGGGCTGGGGATGTAGATGTTAGAGTGCTTGCCCAGCATGCATGAGGCCAGCACCACATAAACCAAACTTAGTGTCACACACCAAGAAACCCTGCCTTCAGGAGTATAGGCAGAAATGTGAGGTGTTCAAGGTTAACCTCAGCTACAGTTTTAGTCTACCTTGCAGTAGCTGTAATTCTGCTTCAAAAAAAAGATTTGGAAATATAAAAATAATGAATTTGACTAAAGAGAGACACTGGAGATGCAGAGCTGTATTTATTCTGAATAAGACTACCCATCACACAGATAATTCATTAAAATATTAGCAGGTAGGGCTGGAGCAATGCCTCAGTGGTTAAGAACACTGGTTGTTCTTGTAGAAGATCCAGGTTCAAATCCCAGCACCCACATGGCAGCTAACAACTGTCCATAACTCCAGTTCCAGGGGATCCGATGGCATCTTCTGTCCTCCGTAGGCACTGCACAACATGGATGCACTTACATGCAGGCATAACATAAACTCATACACATAAAATAAGATACAAAAAAATAAATAAATAAAATATTACCAGGTGTAATGCATAGAAGCTTTGTAAATGTAAATTCGAATCACACTACACAAAATTTCTCTAATAATAGGGCACCCCAATTGTCAACATTATCGATAAATTGTTCAGTCTGGATGAGTATATGAAAGTTTATTACTTGTATATTCAGGTTAAATTTAGTGAATTATAATAAAAATTTAGGGCCAGGCGTGGTGGCGCATGCCTTTAAATCCCAGCACTCTGGGAGGCAGAGGTAAATGGATCTCTGAGTTAAAGGCCAGCCTGGTCAGCTGGGCTACAGGGAGAATACTGTCTCAAAAAGAAAACAAAAATAATAAAAAAAAATTTAAGTAGGTCCATCAAATAATAACCACCACAACAAAGGGTTCAATCAGACAACGTAACGATCACTTTATTTGAGATGGCTCAGCGGTTAAGAGCACCAACTGCTCTTGCAGAGGACCTGGGTTCGATTCCCAGCACCCACACGGCGGCTACGAATCGTTTTTAACTCCATTTCCGGGAAATCCGAAGCCCTCTTCTGATCTCTATGGCACTGCATGACACAGGTGCACTCACACGCATGCAGGCAATACACTCATACACATAAAATAAAAATAAAAAGACCATGAAATCTTTGAAATCTTTTTTGTCTAACATGAAGATAGGTAAGATGAAATAGGAATTGTAGGAAGCATTAAGCACAAATAGATTAGATACTAGCCACATAAGGAAGTCAATCACACAAGGGGCATCAGTAAATAGTGTATAAAAGGACACACTTTCACTTTCTGGCTTATAAGCAAAATGGCAAACCATGAGGGAAAATAAGGATGTATTTTAAAATGGGCAAAGTCCAGGTAAGTATTTGAGTTCTGCCCAAAAAATCCACAAAAAACCCACTAGAAACAGAGAAAAGCAAGACAAATTTGGGGAGACTCATTTTCCCCACTTGAAGGCAATGGTTAGTACCAAGAATTTATTTATTTTTAAGCATATAATAAGCAGAGTAAGAAGAATCAACACCTGGTGCAGCATATGTAAAACGTTCTGTTCTCTTTCTTTTGCTATTATATCTTCAGCAGTTTCAGAAAGACTGGTGATGTCAAACCAAGACTCAAAGCTGAAAAAGAAAAATGATTACAAGTTAACCTATCAAACAAATTCAACTACACTAACATGATACAGCTTTTACAATTTCATATTTTCAAATTTTTTAGTGTTTTGATAGTCTCATATAAACCAGGTTGACCTCAAATTCTCTAAATAGTCAAACTGACCACTGGCTGGTCCTTCTGTCTCCAACACCCAATGCTGGGATTACAGGTGTGCATCTCTCTCTACCTGGCAATAACTTTATATTAATCTGTGTGGTTGTAAAGCAGGAACATTGATGCAACAAATACTCAGATGAAAGTTTTTTAATAAAAAAATATATTCAAATGAAGAGGAAGTAATTGTTCTGAACCAACTATCAAGAAACTGAAATCTGAAAGGGCACATTTTTTCTGAGAAAAAAATACAGATTAAGGGATTTTTTTTGTTCACTTGTTTTTGTGGTACTAAGGTATAACCCAGGACCTCAAATATTCTAAGCAAGAGTGCTTTACTACCGAGTTGCTTTCCAGTCCAAAACACAAACTTCATGAAATAGTCATAATAGTCACAGAAGTGACAAAGCTCTTTTTTTGAAAACCAAGGCTATATGGTGTATCTTTACAGGTATAAATCCAACAACTGGTTGTTATGTGCATGTGCATGAACACATGCATAGGTGTGATGCTGGAGCTCAAACACAGGACTTTCCTTAATGCAAGGCAAACACCTATATCCTAAGCCCTTAGTTTCTCAAGAGTGTCTCCCTGTGCAGTAGCTCAGGCAGGCCGTGAATTCTCAATCAGCATGCCTTGGCCTCCTAAGTGAAGAAGATTACAGGCATGAATCATCATATCCAACCCAAAAGTTTTTAAGTTCAAAATACCATTAAGTAGGTAATTGTATATACCATACATCCTCAGTTCTTTTCTCACGTTAAAAAGTTATCAGCATACAGATATTTATGAAGTAATATTCGTGTAGAACAGATATTCTCAGGTGGACCACAGGATGTATGTTGGATTTTTGTTTGTTTTGGTCTTTTTAAGACAGTCTCCCTGTAGCCCCATCGAGCCTGGAACTCACTACCTAGACCAGGCTGACCTCAATTTCAGAGAGATCCACTTGTCTCTGCCTCCTGAGTGCTAGGATTAAACACATGCACCACCATACCCCATTTTTTGTTTTGGTTTACATGATATATGCTTTTAAAATTCAGATTTTCAGGGCTGGTGAGAATCAGCTGCTAAGAGCACTGGCTGCTCTTTGAGGACCCAAATTTGGTTTCTAGCACCCACCTGGGGGCTAACAACAGAACTTCAGTTCCAAGGAATGGACACCCCCTCCTGGCCTCTCTGGGTTTACACACAGCTGGTGCACTTACATACATGCAGGCAAAACACTCAAATACATAAAAAAAAAAAAATCACAGTCATTTTTTAAAATTCTAATTTACAGCTAGTACCTTGAGAATCTAATTAATAGGTGTGAATAAAACACCAAAATCACATCCTTTAATAAAAGTGTGTACAGTCACAATAAGCCAGTCTGGCCTTATTCCAGAGTTTAATACTAGGATATGAAATGCAAATTCTCAAAACACCAAATTTCCCCAAATTCAATTAGCTTTCTTCTTTCATGCCAACATTAAGTATAAATCAATTATTTTGTCCTCTTTCTTTTGCTGTATTTCCATTTGAATTGTTTTTACTTGTTATCTCCTTTTTCTATTGTGGACACTATTTTCTGAAAATTCCTTTCTAATAAAAGCTGTAATTCAAACACAATTTCTATAATAAAAAGTACTAGGTTCAAATTGGGACATCATGGTTTAAATTTTGCTCTGAGGGCTGAAGGTGGCTCAGGGGTTAAGAGCACTTGCTGCTTTTTCAGACAACTCCAAGTTCCATTCCCAGCACCCACATAGCTCACAACCATCTATAACTCAGGTTCCAGGGGATCTCTTATGGCCTCCACTGGCACTAGACAAGTGGTGCACATGAGGGAAAAACACTCAAAACACATAAAATAAAAATATCTTAAAAAAGAAGAACTTTTCATTTGCTCTGGCCATATAAATTTTTTTTAGTCTATTTGAGACAGGGTCTCCCTGTAGCCCCAGCTGACCTGAAACTACGTCAACCAGGCTGGCCTGGAACTCAAACAGATCACTACACCCAATTAGGTCACATAAATTTTTTTTTTTTAATTTAGTCCTAACTATAATCAAATGGCGACTTTTTTTTCTAGTATTTTATTATTTGTATTTTATGTGTATGACCGTATTGCCTGCATGTATGTGAGTACACCTGTGTCGTGCAATGCCTCAGAGGTCAGAAGGGGGCATCAGATTCCCCTGGAACTGGAGTTAAGGATGGTTCATAGCCGCCACGTGGGTGCTGGGAATCGAACCCGGGTCCTCTCGAAGAGCAGTCAGTGCTCTTAACCGCTGAGCCATCTCTCCAGTCCCTAGGTCATACAAATTTTATAACAACTTAATACCTAGGTTTTCTTATATATGAGATAAAGAACATATTTAAGACTTTCATCTGCTTTGATTCTTTTATAAAGATAAAACTGGAAATATCCAACTGATGGAGATGGCTCAGCAGTTAAGAATACTTATTGTTCTTTCAAAAAGACCTGGGTTCAAGCTCCCAGCATCCATATGGCAGCAAACAAAAGTCTGTAACTTGAATTCCAAGGGATCTGAAGTCCTCATCTGGCCTCACTGAGCTTTACACAACACAGGCAAAGGCAAAACAACTCATACCAAAAGAATAATAATAAAAAATAAAGATTTTTAGAAAATTAAAACAACAATCTTACCAAAACCCAGAGTCACAAAGACGCCTTTAATGCAGCACTTGGTAGGCACAAGGAGGCAGATCTCTGGGAGTTCAAGGCCAGCCAGAGCTACATAGTGAGATCTTGTTTCAAAAAAAAATAATAATAATCTGTGGCTAGAGAGATGGCTCAGCAGTTAAGAGTACTAGCTGTTCCTGCAGCTACATGGTAGATAACAACTGGTGCACTTTATGTACATGCATGCAAAAACTCATACACAAAAAGCCGGGTGTGGTGGTGTATGCCTTTGATCCCAGCACTCAGAAGGCAGGCACAGGCAGATCCCTATGAGTTCCAGGCCAGTTCGGGCTACAAAAAATAAATAAATAAATAAATAATAATAATAATAATGATAGTAGTTGATTTTGCTGGGAGTGGTAGCATACATCTTTAAGCCCAGCACTCAGGAGGCAGAGGAAGGTGGATTTCCATGAGTTCCAGGCCAGTCCCACTACAGGGAGACCCTATCTCAAAAACAAACAAACAAAAACTCATACACAAAAATAAAAATAATTTTAAAGATCCTACTGGAGTATTTTAAGAAATTAATTTTCTTTTATTTATTTATTTATTGGTGAAGGGTTGTTCCACACACACACATGCCATGACATATGAATTAAGCTCAGAGGACAACTTGCAGGAGTTCTCTCCTACCATGCAGCCTCTGAGGCTAGAACTTGAGTAGTAAGGCTTTAGCAGCAGTGCCTTTACCTACTGAGTCATCTGGCTAGCCCCTTAAAGAATTTCTTGTTTTCCTTTAAACAATATAAATGTCTTTTAAATCTTTATCTACTCTCATATATATTTTGTCAAAATTAGAACACATAACATCTGACATGAAGAATTTGCTAAAATGTCATCTATATTGTGATACCAAAAGAATGAGTTTCAGCTAAGAACAGCAATTTTGAGGCTTTGAAAAAATAAAAAATAGATAAATAACTGCCTTACCTACCTTTTCAAGTCATCAAATACATCTGGCAACAAAAAGTTTAGCAATGACCAAAGTTCTGATAAATTGTTTTGCAAGGGAGTACCAGTCAATAGAAGTTTGTTATCAGCACTGAACCGTTTTAACTCCCTGATTAGACGGCACTTCATATTCTTAATCCTGTGTCCTTCATCTACTATTAAGTATTTCCAATAGCAATGCTAGAAAATGAATTGAGGGAAAAAAATTTTAAGAAACAATCTCATAACTTTTCCTAAATAATACTCTAATGATAAAACTTCTTTTATGGGAGATGGCTGTCAAATTTTATCAATTGTCGTTTTACTAGATATTAAAAATTATAATTCTTTCTTAGTGCCACAATGTGATAATAGATTCATAAAATCAATGTTGAGTTATGTTCCTGAACAGACTACCCTCCCTAAGTAATACCTGCTACCATGTATTAGGAATTTCTCATTGCCGGGTGTGGTGGCGCACGCCTTTAATCTCAGCACTTGGGAGGCAGAGGCAAGCAGATCTCTGTGAGTTCGAGGCCAGCCTGGTATACATAGCGAGTTCCAGGACAGCTGGGGCTACAGGGAGACCCTGTCTCAAAAAGACAAAAAAAAAAAAGAATTTCTCATTTAGTCTCAAGACAAAGTAATCTGTAACTTTTCTATCTAATGTTCCAATACTCTGTCAAACTTTGACATTAAGTTCCTGAAAAATACTAGAATTTTTTTTCAAAAGGGAAGTTGAGAGACCCTTCATTTCCTGTATATACTCAGAAAATTTAACAGTAGAAACTTTCATTTCTTTGAGGCATACATCTGAGACTGACACCCCTTTTTAATCTGACAGTTTTTCTCAATTTCCTTCATTGATTTTCAGCATTTCTTATTTTTTAGTAGCCAAATTTAATAATATTTTCAAAGATAATATATTGATATGCATAAAGTTGTCATAAATATAACAATACTTATGACACACTTTCTGTTTTGGGTTTTTTTTTTTTGAGACAGGGTCTCACTATGTATATAGACCAGGCTAGGCTTGAACTCAGAGATCAGCCTACCTCTGTGCTGGGATTAAAGGGGTGCACCACCACGCTCAGCATTCTTTCATCTGTCCTTTCTCTTTTATAGTGATCAGGCAAAAAAAATTAACTTATTATATACAATACAGAAATGTGCATCATTTCTGGAAAGAAATACCATACCATCAAGTAAAGCTATCTTTCAAAGTTAAGATTGGCAAACTGGAGAGAGTATTTTCATGGTAATATAACAAAGTAGAAGATCTGAATAATAGATGCCAAAAGACAACTATTTCAAAGCGTAAAGCAAAAAACAATAAAACATCCTTCGTAGACAAGTTTTTTTAAAAGGAGAGATAAAAAACAAGAGAAATGACAAAAAATTTGAAAAATTAGCAAAAAGGCACTGACACTTGTCACTCATAAACAGGAGACTCAGATCCTTAATCCCATCACCCTCTAAAACTAAAATCCTAACAATGATAAATTGGCTCATTAAAAGGGAAAGTAGAAAAATATCAGCCACTAGACAAGGAGGCTTAATTATTTAATATCAGAAAAGTAGAGAAGAAAATTATGAACCTTCATGTTACATATTTAAGAAAACAGAAGTTACAAAAGAGAAATGTATAGTATGACTCAGTACACAAATTATACCTATTTTGTCAACAGTAGTTACTTAGTTCAAAAGAATTCTCGTGTACAGTTACAAGTAGTTTCCCATTTTTCCACAGATTACTTTTTTCCATGAGTAGAACATTTTCTATAAAGAAATGGTTTTGACTTTTGTTTTTTGGAGCAGAGCACCACTCTATAGTCCAGGCTGAGTACATACACATAATTGTCTTGCCTCTGCCTTATGAGTGCCGAGACTGCAGTCATAAGCCACAACACCCATAGTTTTGATAATTTTTTTTGATATTTCACTTATTATTTGTATTTTGTGTATGAGTGCATTGCCTGCGTGAAGGTAAGAGCACCCATGTTGTGCAATGCCCACGGAAGACAGAAGAGGCCATCAGGTCCCCTGGAACTGGAGTTACAGACAGTTGTCAGCTGCCATGTGGGTGCTGGGATTCGAACCCAGGTCTTCTGCAAGAACTGGTGTTCTTAACCACTGAGCCATCTCTCTAGCCCCAGTTTTGATCTGGAACTACAACTCTTACAAGTCATATTCCACAGTTCTACTCACACAAATGGAACATTTGATAAACACTGGTCACGAATATGTAAGTACATACTCCATTTCTGACCTATGTGTTTAGACTTTATGTTGAAGCAATTATTTAAGTTCATTCTCCTCTCCCTCTCTCCCTCTCTCTCTCCCTCTCCCTTTCTTTCTCGCTCTCTCGTCTTTGTGGACCTTGAACTCGGAGATCTGCCTGATCTGCCTGCCTCTATCTCCCAAGTGCTGTAATTAAAGGTGTGCGCCACTACACACAGCCTACTTTTCTCATTTCATGCAAGTAAGAAAGAACAAGGGAAATGAGTTCAGTATAAACATTATATAATCAGATAAGAGAAATGCAAAGCAATAAAAAAATATTATATAGGTGGAAGAGTGAGGACGGTGGTCATTTTTTAATTGTGTTATAATGGGCATTAATAAATAAGAAGCTAGAACAATGAAAGATGAGTGTCAAGATGTCACCCATAGTCCTAACTTTTCTGCAAATATTCTATTCATATCTGAATAAAACTGGACTAATAAGTTCCATGTCACAAATATAGTTGTAATGTATTCACAGATGAGACTGGCTGATCCTAATACTTTAAATAATATTATGGACACAGGTTAAAATGCCACAGGCTTTAATTCTAGTAAGAGAGAGAATTAAATACGGAAGCTCTATAAATATAAGTTTCCAGTTTCTAGAGAAAAACGCATAGACATCTATTACTTCAACCAAAGTTTAAGTAAATGTTACTGGATGCTAACAGTAATATCAACTAAAAACCTGATGCATGAATGACCAATCAAGCACCCAACCACCTGTACCTGTAATGCATTTTGGTCTCTCATGGCTATTTCAAATGATGTGATTACCACAGGATAAATTTGCAGTGTTCCTTGTCTTTTGTGGATATTCCTTGCCAATGTTCGACGTTCCTGCCGAGTTCCATGATACAACATAGTAGGAATCTACAAGGTTTTATATTAAGAACAAAATATAAATAAGATTTGGAAAATACGGGAAAAAGTAATTCTCTAAAAGATAATTTATATAATTATTCTATGGTAAGTCAATTTAACAAATTATTTGACTAATGAGCAGAAATGGAAGGAAAAATTCAAATCCACAGAAAAAGAAATAAATTAAAAATGTTTCTGAAACAGATAAATTACTTATCGAATATATTCTTCTGATAAGGAATGTAGGTAAAATAGTATGTGTATACAGTACTTGCTTGTGTTTAACTTGTAGACAGACTTATAAACAAGAAGAAAATGCCTTCCAGAACTCATTGCTCATATCAGTTTTGATACATATGAAAAGGAATGTTACAGGAGAATAAAAAACATATACCTGGGCTTAAAAAAAAAATACCATAGATAACCAGGTGTGGTGGCACACGCCTTTAATCCCAACAATTGGGACACAGGCAGGCGGATCTTTTTTAGTTCAAGGCCAGCCTGGTCTACATAGCGTGTTCCAGGACAACTGGGGCTACAGGGAGACCTTGTCTCAAAGACAAAAAAAAAAAAAAAAAACAATAGAGAATAAGCTGCCTCTAGTCCCAGCACTTGGGGGGCAGAGACAGGCAGATCTCTGAGATAGAGTCTAGCCTGGTCTACTGAGTGAGTTCTAGGCCAGCTGCGGCTATAGGAAGACCCTGTCTCAGAACTGCCTCTCCCCCAAAACAGTGTTTTGCCCATGTTAATGACTCCATACTGATTTTTTTTTAGCCTCTTCCTTCTGTTTCTTTCATAATAGCAATAGCTCTTATTTTTATAGAGAATAAGCTTGATTTGCTGGGTACTCAAGAGGCTGAAGCAGTAAAATGAAGCAAACCCAAGGCTAGACAGAGCTAACAATGAGTTCTGAGAACACCCTGTGCTACAGAGACCTCATTTCAAATAAAAATAAAAGAATAACCATGACTAATTTTTTTTTAATGTAGATCAGTTTCAGAGATATCAAATTACAAAATCCAAAACCCAATCTAAGGACATTTCATACAAGATTACCAATCCCTACTCTTCTATATAAATTTAAAGAATAAATGGTATTGCCTCAAAGAAGCCATGTAATTCAGAGGCAGTTGGGGGGAAGACATGGGAAGAGTTAGAAGGGGAAAGGGGTGGAAATGATGTAAATACAGTATTCATGTATGAAAGTCAAAAGAATGGTATTGCTCAAATTGAGTAAATCAAAATCAAATGCAATATATATAGACAGCAATTTAATTACTGTGGGAGTTCTCTAATTTAATTCATGCAACAAAACAATGTATACAATAATATTAATAAGAGGAATTATGTCTTACTTCTGGTGTGAATCTTTTGAATTCAGCCATCCAGTTAGGCAGTGTAGACAAAGGGCCACAGACAAGAAAAGGTCCAGGTACACCTCTCTGAATCATCAATGCAATTGTAGCGATGCACTGAACCGTCTTTCCCAAGCCCATTTCATCTGCTAGAATGCCATTAATTCCATTTTCCCAAAGCATCTGAACAAGAATACACTATATTCATGAGTGCAAACATTTCTTAAGTCTTCTTTTTTAAAAGCACAATAAAAAAATACACAATATACACCATAAATTATAACAATGCCTCCACAAGCAATGCACAACATGGGTACATTTCACATACATGCAGGCGAAACACTCATACACATAACTTTAAAAAATATTTAAAAAAAAAAAAAAAAACAAAAAAAAAACTCATTACCCTAAGCCATTCCATGCCTTCTACTTGGTACCACCGCATCACTCCTCCTGTGAAGTGCTTTGGTTGTTGAAAGGGTACAGGCTGTCCATTACATTTCCGAACTGGGTCAAAAAAGGATTTGGTATTCTGCCTAACAGTTTGAGACAATCTATCTTTAATTGTACTATTTGAATCTTTATTTTTCTGAAGATCTTCTACACACAGATTAGTAGTGGAAGAGCTTTCATCCTGTAATGATAAAAGTTTAATTAAAGTTTGATATTAAATGCTGCTATACTCACTACTCAATTTATCAGGAAAATATAACAAGCTGGTATATTGGTGCACAACTTTAATCCCAGAACTAGGGAGGCAGAGGCAGGCAGAGCTCTGTGAGATCAAGGCTAGCCTGATCTACATGGTGAGTTCCAGGACAGATGTGGCTATCTCAAAAAGTGGCCCCTCAAAAAGATCAAAAAATAAAAATGCCAATATGTATCTATTTGTGATACCAAACTTAATAATCAATGGAGGGGCCAGGCATTGTAGCATACACATCTTTAATCCCAGTATTCCAGTACTTGGGAGGCAGAGGCATACAAAGCTCTGTGAGTTCCAGGCCAGCCTGGTCTACACAGCAAGTTGCAGGCTAGCCAGGGTAAACAGATAGTAAGATCTAGTCTCAAAAATAGAAAAGAATTTTACTAGACATCTTTTTCACTGCTTTTCTTGGGACAGGATCTCCTATGAATCTCAGGCTACCCTTGGACTATGTATTTCAAACTGGCCTCAAATTCCTCCTGCCCCACCTAAGATTATAGGCAGGCCCCACCATGTTAGGCTCAAAATGTCTTTACACTTGTGTAAGTGGAGAGATGGCTCAGAAGTTAAAAGCACAGACTGCTCTTGTAGAGGACCTGGGTTTGGTTTCTAGCACCCATATGGAGGCTAACAGCTCTCTTAATTTGAGTTCCAGGCGATCAGACACCCTCTTCTCACCTCAGAAGGCACTGAATGATATGGGTGCACTTACACACAGGCAAAACACACGCAACAATTTTTAAAAAGCTAAACAAATAGGAGCTGGGTGTGGTGGTGCACACCTTTAATCCAATACTCAGGAAGCAGAGGCAGGTGGATGAGATTGAGGTCTACATAATGAGTTCTAGGCCAGCGGGAACTACAGGAAAACACCATCTCAAAAAGGCTTAAAACAAAACAAAAAAAAAAGGAATGTGAAAGGAGGAATAGTGAGCTGGCACATTGATTAAAGGTGCTTGCTGCTGAGCCTGCAGACCTGACTGGGGTGCACATGGTGGGAGAGAACTTTCCCCAAAGTTGTCCTCTGACCTCCACAAGTGCCCCACCAACAAACAAGTATGTTAAAAAAAAAAAAATTTTTTTTTTTTTTTTAAAAGAGAAAACGTGAAAAGATGGCTCAGAAGACAAAGGAGCTTGACACCAAGACTTATGTTCTCCTGTGACCTCCACATGTGTACCATGGAAAGAAACACACACACACACACACACACACACACACACACACGCACACTAATGAAACTATAAATCTTACCTCATTATTCTTTTTATGTTTTTTAGCCACCGACAAAATTTCCTAGAAGATTGAAAAAATAATGCATGAGACCATTCCTTCCATGATCCCATCAGCATGCAGCCCAGGCAGGCAAATACTACTCTGATCCATAATCAAAAATCTCTTTATAGTGAACAGTGGTGAATGCAGACTCACAACTCACTGCCTGTGATGGCTAAGTGCTCAACTCTAAACACAGTATTTATAGTATCTTTTCTAAGGCTCAGGGGACAACATAGAAGAGAGCATAATGAATTTAAGAGCTGAAAGATAGGGAAAAGGGCTTCTTCAAGGCAGGACACAAACATTTCAAACATGATCTCACAGCATCTGCATTTGCCTACACCAAGACTGGGCCAGTCAACAGCCAATCATGGACTGGGGAGGGGCTTATGGGACCCTCTCCCTCCCTGTTGAAATACTGGCTACTGATGGATTCCGGGAAGGAACAGTCATTGTCTTCAGTGTGTGCCCATCTGTGAGCCACCAAGCACCAGTGAAAAGTTCCAAACCTGTGGGTACAGATAGTCTTGGTTAAAAATCAGTGGCCCACAAAACAAAATGACATATCAAAGGGAAAAGATGTACAGGGAGGAGTGAGGACAACCAAGAGTGAGAATACCAGGAGAGAGTAGTGGGTAAAAGTAAACAGAACACACTATATGTATATGAAGGGGCTGGAGAGATGGCTCAGCGGTTAAGAACACTGGCTGTTCTTGCACAAGACCCAGGTTCGAATCCCAGCACCCACATGGCAGCTAGCAACTACCCATAACTCCAGTTCCAGGACATCCGAGAACCTCTCCTGTCCTTCTCAGGCATTGCACAACATGGGTGCACTTACCTACATGCAGGCATAACACTCATACACAGAAAATAAAAATAAATCAAAAAAAAATTTCTTTGGGGAGGGGATATGGCAGACAGGATGGTCTCACTGTGTAGCCTAGAACTTAGTATATAGACCAGGCTAGCCTTGCACTCATTTTAAAAAAAAAAAAAAAACAGCCTCATCTGTCTCTCAAGTGCTGGGATTAAAGCATGAGCCACTCAGGCAATTCAGCCATCAAAACTCACCACCAAACCTGACAGCTAAAGCTCAACCCTAGAACCCACAGGATGGAAGGAGAAAATTGATTCCCACAGGTTGTTCTGATCTCCAAAACATGCTTACACACATACATTCATGCACAAATGAAACTTTAACAAACCCCCACAAACTAATAAGACTCGTTTATGTATTCATATTTATTCTTGCTAATTTTATGTCAGTTAAGTGGGAATGCGGCACTAGGAAAAATAAAAAAGATCTAAAGCTGGTGGCCCATGAGAATTGGACGTTATCGCTATTTTAGTATAACAAAGATCAATACACTGAGTATACAGAACTGTTCTGTTCTTGAAGTACCTTATCAGAAGACCAATACATGAATGTTATCTACAGATTTAGAGATTATGCTATAATAAATTACCTAAAAAAGTTCTCACAAGGCTTAATTATTAAAAAGTAACAGAAGGGATAGGGATATAGCTAAATGGTGAAGGACTTGCCAAACATACATGGTTAAGATCCCCATTATCATCAAACAAAAAGAAAAACAACAAAAACAAAAGAACTGAAAGAACATGAGAACATATGCCAAGACAGGGATTAATTTTTTTTTGGGGGGGGGTCTTTTTTGAGACAGGGTCTCCCTGTAGCCCCAACTGTCCTGGAACTCACTATGTAGACCAGGCCAGCCTTGAACTCAGAGATCCACCTGCCTCTGCCTCCTGAGTGCTGGGATTAAAGGCATGCGCCACCACGCCCGGCCTCGGATTAAATATTTTAAAGAAATAGTAATATCAAATTTAAACTACACAGAGAATGGGTCAGCAATTGAGAGTGCACTCACATATATGCAGGCAAAACACTCATAGACATAAAATAAAAATAAAAAAATATTTTTAAAAGAGTGCTTGCTGTGGGATCAAAAGTACCAGAGTTTGGACACCAGAACCTACCTAACAAGCCAAGCATCCCAACAAACGCTTATAACCCCAGCTCCCAGAAATCTGAGGCACTCTTCTGGCTTCTGTGCGCACACAGGTGTACACATCCGCACCCACTGATTCCTTCAACAGCTGGTGCCATCCTCTTGCATAAACTTGTATCCCCACCCAAAATATTCTAAGCTCTAATCCTCCACATACATTGTTCTGATAATGAAAAGGCTCTGCTATCTTTTCTCTACCAAGAACTTTTGATACAATGCTTTGAAAATTGAAAATCCACCTGATACTTAAACATATGATGAAGGCTGAGTCAGATGGCACACTCCCATAACTGCAACACCCAGGAGGCCAAGGCAGCAGAATTGTCAGAGGCTAGCCTAACCTATGTACCAAGGCAGTCTCAAAAAACTAAAAATACATTTAAAAACACTATGGTAGGGGCTGGAGAGATAATACAAGTGGTTAAGAGCACTGGCTGCTCTTGCAGAGGACTGGGGTTTGGTTCCCAGCATCCACATGGCAGCTAACATCCATTCACAACTCCAGTTCCAGGAAATCCAACACCGTCTTCTGACCTCCAAAGGCACTGCACAATAGGAATGCACTTACATACATAGACACAATACACTGATACACATAATAAAAACAAATTTTTTTAAAACCCTATAGTAAGTTTTATTAAACACCCAATATTAGGAAACTTATATCTTTACCTCTTTTGACATGACCTCCGAAATATTGTAAGATTCATCTTCTCTTCCTCTTTTCTTTTTCATGACTATAAAACAAAAACAATTTTATTTTTTATAGTGGCCAAAATAAAAATACAAACATGTACTCAAGCTAGAACAAGTCAATTTACCTGGAGTCTCTTCACCTGCATCAACTGAATTTTTACCCTGCAAAACAAAAGGTTTAGAATATTATTTTGGGGGGCTGGAGAGATAGCTCAGTGGTTAAGCACATTGGCTGCTCTTACAGAGGACCTAGGTTCAAATCCCAGCACCCACATTAGTGGCTAACAACCATCCAAAACTCCAGTTCCAGGGCATCTGACACCCTCTTCTGATGTCCGCAGCACTGCATGACACAGGTACACTCACATACATGCAGGCAATACACTCATACACATAAAATAAAAATAATAAAAGGTACTGATTAACTTGAGGGGAAAAAGTTTTGTAGTCAAACCATATCATTATTCATTGCTAAACTTATCTACATGCATAGTTCTATCTATATTTCCTACAATAACTTTGTTCATGCTTTTTCCTGAAATGTGCTGCAGATTGAACCAGGATACAGGCCTCTTCCACTTGAGCTGCCAATGTTCTCATTTTATTTATAATTTTAGTTATATTTAAGATTTTTTATTTAAAATGTACAGTCTTTCACTATAGCTGTGACCATTACATGTTTATCTTCAGAATAAACGTGTAATTACAGTAGATGAGCATAGTATTTCCAAACAAAAATTACTTTCTATGTTTAATACTAAATTTCATCTTCTTAAATGGGAAAATGAAACACTTCAGGACGGTTCATAGCCGCCATGTGGGTGCTGGGAACTGAACCCGGGTCCTCTCCAAGAGCAGTCAGTGCCCTTAACTACTGAGCCATCTCTCCAGAACCCCCTTTTATTTTTTTTTTTACTTTTTTTGGGGCATTTTGGAGACAGGGTCTCCCTGTAGCTCCAGCTGGCTTGGAGCTCACTATGTAGGCCAGGCTAGCCTTGAATGCACAGAGATCCACCTGCCTCTGCCGGGACTAAAGGCGTGTGCCACCATGCCCGGATAAAGACTTTTTATGTTATCTGTGAGTGAGTATGAGCATGCGTCTTCTGGTGCCTGTGGAGTCCAGAAGAGGGTATTGAATCCCCTGGTGCTGGAGTTACAGGTGCTATGAACTGAATCTGGGTCCTCTGCAAGACAGCAAGCATTCTTAACTGCTGAGCTATCTCTCTAGCCCTTAATGAGTACCTTTTAATATGTAAAATGTGTGAACCTGCACCTGATCCTCAGCATCCAGCACTCAAGTAAAAATCTAAGATATGGTAGTAGTGTTTGTATTCCCAGTGCTATTAAGTCTGAAACAAGTGGTTCCCTGGGACTCGCTGGCTAATTGGCAAGTTCCAGGCCAACTAAGACCCTGTCTCCAAAAGCAAGGCGTCTAGACACCACTGCAGACAGACATGTGCCTCCTCACCCTTCCCCTTCAAGTTAAAGTCATGCATAGAGGCACCTATCTATGATTTCAGCACTTGAGAAGCCAATTAGGACTTTGATAAATTTGAGGCCCACCTGGGCTACGTAACAAGTACCAGGCCAGGTAGGGCTACACAGAAAGATCCTGCCTCACATCAGGAACCAGTGAAAGACCATGTCTCAAACAAAATGAGGTGAACAGCTATCTTGAGGAACAATGTCTGAGGTTGACCTCTAACCTCCACATACATGTGCTCTTATATGAGCACATGAAAACACAATGTATGTTATTTATGATACACACAGAAGATCCCATCTCAAAAAAAAGGGCCAGGGGTAAAGAAAGTTGAAATTATAAAGGTGATCAAATAAGTTAAAAAAATTTCCTTAACATTTAAGATAACATATAAGAAATATTCTGAGAGACTTGAAGGGTACTCTTCACTAGGAGAACAGGTGCTTAGCATTATCTAAGATCCTAGATTCAACTCATAGCACTAGGGGGAAAAATTCTGGCTTACTATATTACCTCGGCAATTTTTAAAGATTGCTTCTTTCTCTCCAACTTTTCTTTCTTCTTCTGTTCCTGTAAGATAATTTTTTTTCTTAGCATTATAAATGGGAAATAGGACATATAAAGACATTATCACAATTATTATGTAATCTTGAATTTATAATGAAAAATATTAACAATTTAAAAACAAACCTGTTCTTTAAACATTTAGAATTAGAAGAGACAGACTACACAGAACTAAAATATATATAGGGGCTGAAGCAATGGATCAGCAGTTAAGAGCACTGGATGCTCCTGCAGAAGACCCCTGGGTTCGGTTCCCAGCACCCACATGGTTGCTAACAATTCCAATTCCAGTGGGATCTGATGCCCTCTTCTGGCTTCCATAACCATTGCACACATGCGTGCACTCACATATATGCAGGGAAAATACTCATATACAAAATTGAAATTTTTAAAAATTCGTATTAACTATATGAACCTTTTGACTATTGAGCTTACTGACTGAAGGTAATATCCATAAGCAAGCAAACAGAAACCAAGTCTCTGAGTGGAGGAAATAAAATTCAAAATTAAGCTCTTAGCATCTGCAATGCCAGACTGAGATGCACAGAGAACACTACAGTCTCTCTCAAGTCTTCAGGCTGAGTATCCTAAATACATGGATATAAGGAAAGCAAACCTGTAAGACAACGAGACAGAATAAACTGACAGAGCAAATGTGCTTACATGGAATTAGGAATAGTTTAACTCCCTAGGAAAAACAGAAAGTCCTACAACATAGTGCATCAAGTAAAAATATTGAGAAATATTATGACTAAAAGGGATTCCAAGGGGTGGGCGAATCCACCTGGGTGAGTTCCAGGCTAGAATTATAGCTCAGTGGTAAGAGTGCTTGCCTAGCATGAGACACTGGGTTCAACCCCTAGTACCACTAAGCAAGGCAGGGAAAAAAAGGGAGGGAAAAGGGGGGAAGAAGAGAAGGGGAAAGGGAAAGAGAGAATGAAGGAGAGGGGAAGGAGAGAAAAATGAAAGGAGGGAAAGAGAAGACCAGTCATTACATGATGGTACATGCTATATTATCAATCCCAAGACAGGAGGCCAAGGCAGAATGATCCTGAATTCAAAGTCAGTCTGTAATACTTAGGAAAATACTATCTAAAAAGAAAAAAACAAATACAATGTGCAACTCTGTATTTGTCAGCTATTACTCTATACAATACACAAACGTCTAAAGCAACGCTATTTTTTAAAATGATTTGTTTCAGAAATAAAAGACTCATTGGTAAGTACACTAAATCTCAAAAATACAGGAAGGTGGGGCTGAAGAGATGGCTCAACAGTTAAGAGCACTGACTGCTCTTGCAGAGGACCTGGGTTCAATTACCAGCACCCATGTGACAACTAACAACCCTCCCTAAGGAATCTGATGCCTTCTTCTGTCCTCTGTGGGCACTGCATGACACGGGTGCACTTATATACACGGAAGGCAATACATTCACATACATGAAATAAAAATAATAAATATTTAAAAGAAAAATCTGAAAACAGTATATATACAAAGGAGAAAAGAGTGCACACCTAGTTTGCCTATGCAAATGTGGAAGAAACTCAATTTCTCCTATTATTCTCATTTAACAACTGTCAGTGAAGAAATGTATGTGGGATTTTCTCCACACATAAAGCAATAAATTAATCTGCAGCTCTGAAGTGCCCTCAAAATTTAATTCAATTCTAACACTACCTTTCTGTCCTACAGTATCAGTCCTGGACTGAATGTTTAGGCCCCCATACTGTCTGCCTCACTTGAGGTGCCAAATGCTAAGTTCTAGGTTGTTCTACTTGTGTTTCAATGAACTGAGGTTCCCACAACCCCATCTCCAGGTTTAACTTTTCAGAGCAGCTCACGTAACTCAGGGAAACATTTACTTAATCTGCTGGTTTATTTTAAAAGATATTACAAAGGATACTGATAAACACCTGGTAAAGAGATGGATAAGGAAAGGCATGGCAAAAGGGACCCAGAGCTTCCACGCTCTCTAGGATCCTCCAAGTGTTCTATAACCGAACTTCTCTGAATTCTGTTCTTTGGGGGCTTTATGAAAGTTTCATTATGTAGGCACTAATGATAAATCATTGATCATAAGTGACCAACTTAACCCTCAGCTCCTCTCCCTTTCTGATGCTGGGAGGTGAAGTTAGAAGTCCTAACTTCTCATCTGGCTTTCAGACTGCTGTTGATTAGGCCCAATTCTAAAGTTACCTAGGACCAGTCATTAGTTAAATCATCAACATACAAAAAGAAATCTCTCTGGAGGTTCCAAGGACTTTAAGAGCTGTGTACTAACAAACAGAGAAGAAAACAAATTATTATTTCACAATACCATATATAATACAGTGGTCCCACTTATATAATATTCTGGTAAAGCAATACTGATCCATAGTGACAAATGGGTTCAGCAGGTCTACTAATTGCACAAGAGAACTTTTGGATATGAAATGTACATTATTTCAATTGTGTTTGTGGTTACACAGGCCTACAAAGTCACTGGCCAAAACTCATCAAAAATAAACTTGAAATCTGTACATTTTACTGTACATAATTTATATCCCAATAAAGTTGTTTTCAAAACATTTAAGCTATAGTTAATTGCATATACATACTTCCAACTGCTGTTGTTCCATTTTAGTCAACAAAAATTTGGAGTAGATATTGCTTTTTTCAAGCAAATGTTGAAGTCTGCGGTACCGAATTTCAGAGGATTCTCTGTCCCAAGACATGCGAGCCTGTCAAAAATAAATAAATAAACGGCCGCTATTATTAAATTTTCTGATGAAGCACAAAGATCAGGCGTTCAAGGCCAGCCTTGCTACATAGCAAGTTGGAGGCCAGTCTGGCATCATGAGACCATCTGAAAACAAGAAAAATAAAATAAAATGGAAGAAACAGCATCACAATTAAAACAAAACAAATAAACCAACAAAAAAACCACCAACCCTCAGACCACAAGGAAGAGGTCCAGTGGAGCTAGAGGAAGACAATGGGGGAAGGGAGGAATAAGAGCAAAATGTAATCATATACATGTATGAAAATACCATCATGAAGCTTATTGCTTTAAAATCTGACTGGCAAAGAGGCCACCACATCTTTTCAAAGAAAACTTAAATCCGTCTCAAAAAGACCAAAGAAAACCTTAAAACCATTCTTAGTCAGGCATATTTAGTTCTTTGTGTGAGTGTGTGTGTGTGTGTGTATGTGTATGTTGTTGCCAGGCTTTGGCATCAAGTGCTTTACCAGCTGAGCCATCTTGTGAGTCCAAATTTATTTTCAATATTCAACACAACTTATAAAAGATAAGACCACATTGAACTAGTCCTCCAGCATCCACCTTCTAAGTGCTGGGATTACAGATATGTGCCACCATGTTCAGCTACCTCACTGTTTCTCTATTTGTTACTTCTGTGCTCTTTCAAATAACAAACTTCTATTTTTCATTACTTTTATATAACATTTATTAAATAATTTCAAAGGATCTAAAAAAGTAAAGTACTGAAGAACCCTCTCAACTTATAGTAACAGAAAATTTAAAATAATGAGTAAGGTGTACAATGGCACATACTTTGATCCCAGTATTCAGGAGGCAGAAGTAGGCATCTTTACATTCAAAGCTAGCCAAGGCTACACAGTGAGACCCTGTCTCAGGAGAAAAAAAAAATATATATATATAGAAGGCACAAGATAGAAAACAAAAACTCTGGTTTAGTGGTCTACAAACTTCTACAAATATGGTCTACCATATACTACAAATCAGATGACATCACAAATATTTGAAAAGGGCTAGAGAGATGGCTCAGAGGCTAGGAACACTGGCTGCTCTTTCAGAAGACCCAGGTTCAGTTCCTAGCATACATGTTGTGGCTAACAACTATCCATAGCTCCAGTTGCAGGGGATCTGACACTCTCTTCTGACCTCCACGGGCATTGCGTGACATAAGTGCACTTACACACAGACAGGCAATACACTCATACACATGTAATAAAAATAATATTTAAAAGAAAAAATCTGAAAACAGTAAACACCAGAAAACATATTCTTTTTTTTGTCTTATGAGACAGGGTCTCCCTGTAGCCCCAGCTGGCCTCAAACTCGCTACATAAACCAGGCTGGCCTCAAACTTAGAGATCCTCCTGCCTCTGACTCCCAGGTGCTGGGACTAAAGGCATGCGCCACCATGCCCACCAAGATATTTATTCTTAGTACTATATAATACAGCTCTAAGTCCTAAAAAATTCAAATTATTACTAAAATCGGGGAAGTTGAATTTCAAACGGCATCACCATCATCTGAAGGACAGTAGAACAATGTAAATTTCACTAAGTAAGATAGAAGTTCCTGGGCTGGAGAGATGGCTCAGTGGTTAAGAGTACTGGCTGCTCTTACAGAGGACCCGAGTTTGATTCCCAGCACCCACATGATGGCTAACAAACATTTGTAACTATGGTTCCAGGGCATCCGATGCCCTCTCCTGACCTCCAAGGGCATTGCAAGACACAGGTGCAGCAGGCAATACACTCATAATACAGGCAATACATTCATACACAAAAAATTAAAATAATAAATTGCACTTGGGTGGCAGAGGTGGGCAGATTGCTGAGTTTGAAGCCAGTCTGGTATACACAGTGAGTTCCAGACAAGCCAGGGCCACGTAGTAAGTGAGCTCCTGTCTTAAACAAATAAATAAAAAATTTCAACTAGACTAGAGATGGCCTTTAGCACTTGCTCCTAAAATATGGCAACTCAAGTTTGATCCCCAGGACACAGATAGTGGAAAGGAAGAACACAAAACTGTCCTCTAGCTTCCACAGGAAGTATGTGCATACCTCTGCCCACCACATAAATAAATCTAAGTTTAAAAAAGAAGTGGTGCATGCCTTTAATCCCAGCACTTGGGAGGTACAGGCAGGAGGTTCTCTGTGAATTTGAGGCCAGTCTGGTCTACACAGAAAGTTCCAAGTCAGCTGGGGCTACAGGGAGACCCTGTCTCAAAAAGACCAAAAAAAAAAAAGATTATTGGGCCGGGTGTGGTGGCGCACGCCTTTAATCCCAGCGCTCCGGAGGCAGAGGCAGGAAGATCACTGAGTTCAAGGCCAGCCTGGTCTACATAGCGAGTTCCAGGCCAGCTGGGGCTACAGGGAGACCCTGTCTCTCAAAAAGGCCAAAACAAAACAAAAAAAGAATATCTAACTACTTGATATGTTTTTAGTAAACCAAGAATCCTGCTTTTCAGCCAATACTAACAGAGACCCAAAAACTCAAACAAAAAAGACTAAAACCGCAACATCTTCCCATAGTAGGTTTTTTGTTGTTGTTGAGACAGGTTCTCCTAATAGGCCCAGCTGGCCTAGACCTCAGAGAATGCCCCTGCCCCTGCCCCTGTCAGGATTAAAAGTGTACCACCACACCCAGCCTCCATTGTAAGTTTTCAAGTTAGAAGAAATAGCATGAAAGTTTGAAGGTGGTTTGAAATGGAAGGATGGAACCTAGAATGAATGAGAACCTGGAATGAATGAGGTTCTAGATTATTCTAAATTGTTCCCCAGTTGTACAGGAAGAGAAGATGGGAGAAGCACAGGGAGAGAAGGAAGGGAAAAGAAAGGAGGCGAAGGAATGATAGTGGAGAATTAGGATTTCATTATTTTATTCTTTTTTTTTTTTTTTGGTTTTTTTGAGACAGGGTTATCCTGTAGCCCCAGCTGTCCTGGAACTCACTATGTAAACCAGATGGCCTTGAACTCACAGAGATCCGCCTGCCTCTGCCTCCCGAGTGCTGGGATTTCATTATTTTATTTTTAAAAAATGCCCCGGTATATTGGTTCATATTACTGTGTATCTCATCACTATAGTTTGCTTCCAAAATAAATTTCTATTACAAAAACGAATGGGTGGGTGCGCTAAAGAAATGGCTCAGCAGTTAAAAACACTGCCTGTTCTTACGAGGACCCAGGTTCAAATCCCAGCACTCACATGGCAGCTAAAAAACATTCATAAATCCAGTTCCAGGAGATCCAACACCCTCTTCTGTCCTCCAAGGGTACTGCACAAAATAGGTGCACTTACAAACATGCAGGCATAATACTCATACACACAAAAAAAATTAATAATAATAATTTTTTTTAAAAAATAGGGAGCTGGCAAGATAACTGATCAGGTAAAAGCACTTGCCACTGACAACCTGAGTTCAATCCCAGAGTCCCCAGAACCCACATAAGGTAGTACTCTTAAAAGTTGTCCTGACTGCCATATCCCAAGGAACCTATAGTGGAAGGAGAAAACCAGAAACCATGATGTGTCCCAATTCCCAAATACAAATTAAAAAATATAAACAAAAACAAAAAAACCACACAATGACAATAGAAAGATATCTAGCAAAGTAATTCATGCTTATTACAGAAAAGTTAGATGTCAGAAAATACATGAATCTACCAAACCACCTATAAATAATCTGCTACAGTTCTCACAAGCTCAATGTTCTTATCTTTTAGGGTACCTTTTCTTTCTTCCTTTTGGGGGGCTGATCTCAAACTCAGGTAAGAATGACCTTAAACTCTTTTTAAACCTATTTTTATGTGTATGAGTATATTGTCTGCATGTATGTGAGTGCACTCGTGTCGTGCAATGCCGTGGAGGTCAGAAGAGGGCTTCAGATTCCCCTGGAACTGGAGTTAAGGACCATTCATAGCCGCCATGTGGGTACTGGGAATCGAACCGGGTCCTCTGCAAAAGCAGTCAGTGCTTTTAACCGCTGAGCCATCTCTCCAGCCCCTTAAACTCAACCTTTCTTGATGTCACATCCCAGGCATAGGAATTAAGAAATGAACCACAGGCAGGGCGTGGTGACGCATGCCTTTAATCCCAGCACTTGGGAGGCAGAGGCAGGGGGATCTCTGTTAAGTTCAAGGCCAGCCTGGTCTATATAGTGAGTTCCAGGACAGCTGGGGCTACAGGATAAGCCTGTCTCAAAAAGACCAAAAAAAAAAAAAGAACCACAAAGCAGGTTTAGACAAAATGAACCACTTCATTTCTCCTCCTATTCTGCCCTACCCCCATTTCAAAGGCAATAATGCTACTCCTAAGTCTTATACAGGCTTATTTTAAGGTGAAAAGTCAAGTAACTGTGGCACATGAATGGCAAAGTCAATTCCCAAGTTCTTAAAAAAACTAAAGCAATATGGCTAGGCATGGTGGCAAACGCCTTTAGTACCAGGATTGGGAGACAGAGGCAGGTGGTCTATGAGTTCAAAGCCAGCCCAGTCCACGAGTTCCAGGCTAGCCAAGACTACATAATGAGACCCTGTCTCAAAAACAAATCAAAACAACAACAGAACCAACGAACAACTTAAGACAAAGGAAATGTTTCTAAGGCCTTCCTATTTAAAAGCTTCTAAATATATACCCAAAAACACTGTTGTCCCTCCCCCAAAGAAGCGATCTTTACTTTTCTAACTTATTCTGGCTTCAAAGTCACGCCTTTTAATCTCAAATAGGGTAAGATTTAGAAAGACTTATCTGGTCACATCAGCAATGTTTTATGACTCAAGTACAAGAATTAATCAAAATCTTTCACCAATAATAGACCGGAAATAAAATCACTTGTGATCAAATTATATATTTAAGACTGAAAAGAGCTATATACTTTTTTAATGGAAGAGAGTTAATGTGGATCTGGAATTTCCCTAAGCTCTATAATGACTTTTTTTTTTTTTTAAATATAAGGCCAGGTGTGGCTGCGCACACCTTTAATCCCAGCACTTGGGAGGCAGAGGCGGACAAATCTTTTTGAGTTCGAGGCCAGCCTGGTCTATATAGTGAATTCCAGGACAGCTAGGGCTACAGGGAGACCCTGTCTCAAAAGACAAAAAAATAAAAAGCTATAGACACTAAGCCAGACATGGTGACACACACCTTTAATGGAGAAGCAGGCAAATCTGTGTATATTTGAAGCCAGCCTCGTCTATATAGGGAATTCCAGGCCAGTACAGGGAGACTGTCTCAAAAGCACCAAGGACCATAAAAAGGCTACAGACACTACTGCCTAACCCTTAACAATAATAGCTCCAATAAATTTAGAACTGATTACAAAATGCTTATTCCTAAGCTTTAAAATTTCACTGAAAATATGTAGATGTATCTGGTGGTAAAACACACCTATGGGTATGTTTCCCATATGCCCTGGGCTTCCAGCTGGAATAGGAAGAGGTTACCAAAAATAGAAATTTTTGACTGATGGTTGACTTCATCAGTATTTATGAACTTCTACAGCTATTTTAAAATGAAAATGTTTTTCTCCTTAACTAATGCATCCTAGAAATATATTCTTGTCATAACTCAGGAACAACTTTCTTACGTGGTATTTTCCTACCGAACACTCTTTATGGGTATATGAAAAGGGTAAAAGTAAAGATACATATCTCAAGATGAGATTACAACGCTATTAGAACTTTGGAAGTTGACTATATTCTGGGCAATTGCACCAGAACCTGTATTTTACCACTCACCCAGTTATGTACCTAGTACATGTAAACATAACTTATACCTATAGTATCTTACATATGTACTATTTTATAAAATATTCTTTATCATCATTAGCTATTCAATATTTACTGATTGCCTGCTAATTTCTAAATGGACAGCCTACAAAAACAGGAAGTAATATACCTCAAAGAAACAAAATGAAAATTAAATCAATTATTTAACACTGGGCATGGTGGTAGGAGCCTTTAATCCCAGCACTCCCTGTCTTTAAAAAAATAAAATAAAATCATGGGGCTGGAGAGATGGCTCAGCATTTCAGAACACTGGATGTTCTTGCAAAAGACCCAGGTTCAAATCCTAGCACCCACATGACAGCTAAAAATTGTCTGTAACTCCAGTTCCAGGGGATCCACACCTGCTTCTGTCCTCTGTGGACATTGCATGGCACAGGTGCACTTACTAATATACGCAGGCAATACACTTACACACATAAAATTAAAAAAAATAAAATCACAGAACTTTTTAGAAAAGGTGGTTGAAGGCAGACTTCCCAAGTCTATGAATTCTTATCTTTCCTGAAGCAAAGGGGGCTAATATAATTTTAGAGGAAATGTGCCATCACATCACATTAATGTAACTGATTAGTCAATTAGTATAAATTCTGCTATAGTGAGATGACTAGGAAGTAAAAGTGGTTAGATCCCTGGAACTCATATAAAGGTGAGAACTCCACAAACTTGCTATACACACACACACAAAACATACAAACTTAATTTTTTTAAAAAATGTATATTGTGGAGGGCTGCAGCTATGGCTCAGCAGTTAAGAGCACTGACTGATCTTGCAGAGGACTAGAGTTCATATTCCAGGGCCCACATGGCAACTAACAACTGTCCATAACTCCATTTCCAGGGTATCCAATGCCCTCCTCTGACCTCCTAGGGCACTGCACAACATGAGTGCACCTACTTACACTACAGGCACTACACCCATATGCATAAAAATAAATAAAAAATTTTTAAGGTGTGAATTGTGGCCAGGTGTAGTGGTGCACACCTTTAATCCCAGCACTCAGGAGGCAGAGGCAGGTGGATCTCTGTGAGTTCAAGGGCAGCCTGGTCTACAAAACAAGTTCTAGGCCAGCTGAGGCTACAGGGAGACCCTGTCTCAAAGCCCAGGAAGTGTGAATTGTGGAATCACATTGGCTGCATTTGAATTTGGCTCTATTATTGCTGTGGAGCAGTATGTGCCTCAGTTTCCTCAGATGTAAAATGAGACTATAACTCACGTACTTAATATTTCAGTAATAGTAAATGTAATTAGGAGTGTAGGGGTCATTGAAGTGGATCAGTGAATAAAGGTGCTCATCATGCAAGCCTGACAACCTGGGTTCAATCTCTCATCCCACCCAGTCCCTTCTACCCACTCCATGGCACACAATCACCTACACATAATAAAAATTAAGAATTATCTTCACTAGGAAGATACCTGATATCAAAGTCTGCTCATCCCCCACTCATGAATGTACACATACACAAAACTGAATGAATGTATGAATAAATAATAAATGAATAAATTAAATTAATGGGAAATGTGGACATCAATAATTATTAACATGAGCTACATGACTCATTACTTACTTTAGGAGATTTTATTCCTAAATTAAGTAGAGTTATTTATGCTTAGTTCAATATTCAGTATAACTGCCTCCAGAGAAAGGCACAGTTGTTAAGAAATTCAGGATACAGCTTAAATTCAAATTAGACTTCAAGAGTTTCTTTATGACCAATTGCATCAGTTCGTTAATTTGTAGAAAGGGATGTTAAAAAAGAATCTAAGCCAGGGAACATGGTGCAAGCCAGTAATTCCAGCACTTGGGAAGCTCAGGCAGGATTGCTGTGAGCTCCAGGCCAGCCTGGGCTACAAAACTGAGACAATAATTCCAAAGGGAATCCATATTATATTGATAGAATGCAATAAATACAAGGAAAGTATTCGGCAAAATGTAGGCGTTTTCTATAGCTGTATCACTTTTTCTTGCATATGCAACAATTAAGCAACAGGGTGGGACGTCATAGTTTTAAGTAAGAACTAAATTTTCCAAATGTTAAAAACTGCTTTTAGGGGCTGCAGATGTTGTTTAAGAGTACTTTCTATCTGCAGAGGACTTGAGTTCAGGTCCCAGCACCTCCATCAGGTGGCTCATAACCTGTAACTCCAACTCCAAGGATCAAACGCCTCTAGCCTCCAAATGCGTCTGAACTCATGTCACATAATCCACACTCAGACACACACTTTAATAAAATGTAATTAAAAATAAAGCCAGGCATGGTGACACAGACCTTTAATCCCAGCACTAGGGAAGTACAGGCAGACAAATCTCTTTGAGACTGAGGCCAGCCTGTTCTACACAGTGAGCGTCAGGTCAGCTGTGGCTACAGTGAGACACTTTAAAAAAAAAAATTCTCTGTGTAAGAAAACCACAAGTACTGTAACTTGACACAGAGAAAATGTACACCACAGCTCTAGCTGAAAAACTTAAAAAGCAAGTAGACCACTAGATAGAAAACCGGTAGGAAAATAGGTGCAAGGCACAACCACGCAATCCCAGCTCTGGGAGGGGTGTGGAGGCCAGCCTAGATTCCCTGTGAGGCGTGTCAAAAAAGAAAAGTTAGAAAGAGGAACAAGAAAAAAAAAATCATTAGAGCTGGAATTCAGCCCAGCCTTTGATGGGTGACCCTTCTACCTCTTGTGTCCTACATTAAGACTCTGGGCTTTACAGCTTACGGTAGCTCGTCATCAGGCACTCAGACAAGGTACTAACATAAAAAGCAGGTAAGGATGGCAACAGGGAGCGTTCACAAGTGCCGGCCCGTGCCGTGCATGAATTATAATGAGCAAAGTGGAACGTATCTCCAAAGTGATACGCCAGCCACAGCAGCCTAAGGCTCAGAGCACGTGCAAAGGTCTCGAAGATAAGCATCTGTAAACACACGCAGAGAACACGCGGGCGCGTTTAAAGCTCTAGACACGCCAACTAAATAGTCCAGGGGCCCCGGCGGAGGCTTCGGCTCCTGCACCAGGGCTCGGCCAGGCTCCCAATCCAATTACCTCCTCCAGCATCTTCCGCTCCCTCTCCAGCCCCGCCGTCTCGAGCTGCTCCTCCTCCTCCAGCATAGCAGGGGTGATGACGGCCGTCTCCGCTTGCTCCCCCATTTCTGGCACCGAGGGCCCTGGAACGGGAAGGCTTTGGCTCCGCCTCTTCTAAGTCCCACCACTCAACTCTCCACAGCTCTCCTCCCCCGCCAGCGGCATCGGGGCCCGGGCCCGGGGGCATCGGGAGCCAAGCCAGGGCCACAGCTGTCGGGCTCCGGCTGAGAAGTTGGCGTTTGGGGAAGACGCTGATGCTCGGGAAACCCTGTCACCAAACTGCGTAGCGGCCGCGGCTCCCCTTGCCTCCGCAGCCCCTCGCTCCTCCTCCTCGTCTTCCTCAGCCCCTACCCTTCCTCCTCCTCCTCCGCGTCTTCCTCAGCCCCTACCCTTCCTCCTCCTCCGCGTCTTCCTCAGCCCCTACCCTCCTTCCTCCTCCTCGTCTTCCTCAGCCCCTTCCCTCCACCTTCCCCCTCGGCCCCGGGTGGGCTCCGCCGCAGGCTCCATACTCCCGGTCCAGCTCCCGGTTCCCAACGCCGCCGAAACAAAGTCGAGCCCTCACCGCCTCTACTTGCGGGCCGCTTGGCGGGCATGGCTCGTCCCTGGCGAGGAAGCGGATCCCTCCTCACAGCGCCCGAAACGCCAAGGCTCACACCTCGCAGCGCAGGTCAAGCTGCCTGCTCGCTCCACAGCTGGCGAGAGAAAAACGCGCGCTTCGCCTTCGCGGGAAAATCCCGTCATCTCGCGAGACTTCTGGCTCCCCGCCCGCCCCGCAGCTAGGCTCACGAGATTTGGCGCAGTCGGTACTTAGACCGCCCTCACCTCCCTGCCAGAAGCGCATATTTACCTGGACCTGAATCTCACGGCGGGTGGATGCTATTGAGCTCCTGCCTGTAACTGCCGCTGTGTTGTGATGCTGGGGAGTCCACAGACCGTAGAAAGCCCGTTTTCCCCTTTTCTTTCCCCGTTTTCTCCGAACTGTTCAGCACCGCTGCTAACAACTTACAAGATCCTTTCACACAGTAATGTGAATGAATGACCTCAACTGATGGTCCTTTAGGTAAGAAAACGCATGAGGAGGGTCGAGCTGACGTTGTAGAACACTGCTAACTTCTCTGGTACTCCCACACAGTTTTGCGTGACGTTTCTCCCTAAATAACCCAGAGCATAGTTGGTTTGTGGGTAGGAAACCAAAAAGAAGGGATAGGAAATTAAGATTATGGCAAAGTCAAGAAAATTGTTTAGGATAAGGTAAAGCTAATGAGTGAGTGATAACTGAGCAGAACAGACAAGATTCAGAAACAAGGGCTAGAGATCTAGTTTAGCTGGCGGGGAGCTTGCCTAGCATGCACAAAGTCCAGGATTATTCTCAGCACCTCATACACCTGGCTTGGTGATGCATGCCTGTTATCCCAGCACTCAGGATGCCCAGGCAGGAGAGTCAGAAATTCAGGAAGGTCATCCTTGGCTACTAGTAAAGGACACCCTGAGGTACATAAGACCCAGTCTTTAAAGAAAAAACTCAGAAATTAAATAAAACAATAATTTAAATGGATAAAAGGGGCTTTTCTGGTCACTGTTTTTTGCTCAAGTTTCAACTCCTCTGCAGGCCCCTCTCAAGGTTCCTGCTCCCTTTTCTCGGTCTATGGTATGCATTGTAACCACCTGTTTCCTAAATTTCTGACTCAACTACCTTAATAATTAAGTCTGTAAAAAATTTATGAGTGGAGTTGGGCATGGTGGTGCATGCCTGTAATCTCAACACTTGGGAGGTATCAGAAGTTCAAGGTGGGGGGGAGGGAATGGATGAGAGAATTCCCAGCACCTACATAAAGCGGCTCACAACTACTTGTAACTCCAGTTCCTGGAGATTCCAATGCCTCTGGCCTCTGCAAGCACTTGCACTCAAGTGCACAACTCACACACACAATTTAAAAGGGAGGGGAGCTGCAGAGATGGCTAAGTAACTAAGAGTACATACTGTTCCTCCAGTAGACCAAAGTTGGATTCCCAGCACTCAGGTCAGGTTGCTTACACCTTCTGTAACTCCAGCTCCAGGGAATCCAGTGCCTTGTGTACAGACTGCCTCCCCCTTGTACACATAATTAAAAAGTAAAATACAATCTTAAAAAGCAAACAGAATTTAAAACTAAACAAGGCTGATGAGATGGCTAAAGATGATACCAGGAACCTACATGGTAGTAGGAAACTTGAGTCCTACCAGTTTTCCTCTGACCTTTACCCTTGCATGGTGGCATGCATGAGCATACCATTAAGCAATAATGTAAAACAATTTTTAAAGAAATACATGTGAGGTGGGTTTTTTTTTTTTTTTTAGGTCTTTTTGAGACAGGGTCTCCTTGTAGCCACACAGCTGGCCTGGATTCATTACGGCAACCAGGCTGGCCTCGAATTTACAGAGATCTGCTTGCCTCTGCCTCCCAAGTGCTGGGACTAAAGACTTGTGCCACCTGCCTGGCTACAGTGCATGGTTATCATTACCATTTTCAGTAGCCTCTATAAATTGATCAACAGATTATTTTTATTCCTCTGTTGCAGGTGAGAAAATTGATGCTCAGAAAGGATAAGTTGACTTGTCCAGAAGCACAGAGTCACAAACAGAAGTACAATTTGTTTTTTGTTGTTATTTGAAATAGTGTCTCACTGTTTAGCCCTGGCTGGCCTCAAACTCACGTAGATCTGCCTGCCTAGGCTGCCCAGTTCTTGTGCCACTGGCAAAAATATTTTATTACGGGCTTAAGCATGAAAGCACTCAAAAGAAACTGAAACACACCTGGGAGCTTGAGTGTGAGTTTTCCAAAGAAAAGTAAATCAAAGTAAACTCTTTGAGACTTGCCTGAAACTTTTTTTTTAGTGTGTGTACACACACACACACACACACACACACACACACACACACACCAAGAGCAGGCATGCCATCATTCATCATTCTCTCATTCCACCATGGGTTCCAGAGATCAAACGTAGGTCATCAGACTCATGCAGCCAGTGCTTTTACCAATTGAGCCAACTCAACATCCCTGAAACATGATTGATTGATAAAAATATTTTTATGTGTATGCATGTATTGCCTGCATGTCTGTAAGTGCATCCGTGTCGTGCAATGTCAGTGGAGGACAGAAGAGACTGTCAGATCCCCCGGACAGTTGTTAGCTGCCATGTGGGTGCCGGGATTTGAACCTGGGTCTTCTGCAAGAACAGCCAGTGTTCTTAACCACTGAGCCATCTCTCCATTCCCCTTGATTTGGATATTCTAATGCACTAGATTTTTCTTTTTTCCTTCTACTGAACTTGGTTGTAGTCCCCTTCCTAAAAGTCTTTCCTCTCATCTATTGCTTTTTCCATATACTTTGTTCTTGCAGCATCTGCTTTCCATTCCTATGATCAGATCAAATTCCCTTCTGATTCTTTAAAGTGGGGCGATTTGTCCAAACCCATGAGATGGAACACAACCTGATGCCATGTATTCTCAAAGGACAGACATCTCTTGACCCCACACTTGTCAATAAAAGTGCATTGGTGTGTTCATTTACTGACATATCTTTGCTGTTGTGAAGAGCCTTTACTCAGAATTGTTCATCCTCTTTTAGGGCCTTAGTGTAAATGCCTCCAGGGTAACTGGAACTTACAGTAGCTGTACAGCAATAAACTAGAGCTACTAAACCCTACTAGAATTTGGGGCAGATAAATTGGGGGTGTAAGATGGGAATTGAGTGGCTGAAAAAAATGACAGAACAAATGTCAAAAAGCCAACCAGCCCAAGGGAAGACTAATCTAGATAGAATATACAGCTAATCAAAAGCCCGAAGGCAGAACAGCTTGGACATGTTTGAATATTAGAATAAAGGCCAATATGACAAGCACTTTGGCAAGGAGGTGTGGCACAGATTTAGAGGTAGATCATCCAGAAGAGACCTTGAGTTTTCTCCTCTCAAATATTACAAGTCAGCTGGGGGTGGTAGCACACGGCTTTAATCCCAGCACTCGGGAGGCAGAGGCAGGTGGATTGTTTTGAGTTCAAGGCCAGCCTGGTCTACATAGTTCAGGTCAGCTGGGACTACAGTGAGACCCTGTCTCAAAAAGACAAAAAAAAATTACAAGTCATTATATTTATCTACCCCCTCAAAACACCTTAGAGAATCCTTTTCCTATGAATGGTTCACCATCCACCCAATCAGACTGCAATACCAAACCACTATACACTCTTTCTTCTGCTATATGGTCCACTTCAAACAAGTTACAAGACAGAATTCTCTCAGCTTCTCAAATTAAAACTTACAAAACTAGCATCTGAATATCTTTTCACTTCCTTCAACTTATGTTCTTTTTAAATTTTATTTAGATTTAATTTTCAATTTTTAATTACGTGCACTGTGCACGTGCATGTGTGTGTGTGTGTGTGTGTGTGTGTGCGTGTGTGTGTGTGTGTGTGTATGTGTGTGGCATTGTGAGTATGGGGACCACAACAGCCAGAGGCATCAGATCCCCCCAAGAGCTGGAATTACAGGTGGTTTTTTGGGAACTGAACTTGTATCCTCTGGAAGAGCAGTTGGTGCTCATAACTGCTGTTATCTCTCCAGCCCCATCTTAAGGTCTTTTTTTGGTTTTTTGGTTTTTTTTTGTTTTTAATGTGTATGAGTGTTTTTGCCAGCATATATGTAAGTGCACTACATGTGTGCAGTGACCATGTTGGCCAGAGTAGGGCATCAATTCCCTGGAACAGGAGTTACAGACAGCCACCATGCATGTTCTGAGAACTGAACCCAGATCCTCTGCAAGAGCAGCCAATGCTCTTAATAAATGAGCCAGCCCCCCATCTTTTGTTCTTGATAGAAACCCTTGAAACCTTTTTCAGGAATTTTAGATTAACGTTCCATCCTCTATTCTTAAATATCCACTGAATTCTCTCCATTATTAAATACTTATTATCAAATACTTAAATTATCAAATACTTAATTTATAAATACTTAAATCTTATCCATTTAAAAAAGGGATGGGAATGGAGAGATGGCTCAGTGGTCAAGAGCACTGGCTGCTGGACGGGGTTCAGTTCCCAGCACCCATATGGCAGTTAACAACGCCTGTAACTCCAGTACCAGGGGAGCCAGTGCTCTCTTTTGACCTCTGCAGGCACTGGACCACATGGGTGTAATTACATGCATGAAGACAATATAATCATACACATAAAATAAAAATAGTTGGGCATGGTGGTGTACCCCTTTAATCTCAGCACTCAGGAGGCAGAGGTGGGTGGATCTCTGCGAGTTTAAGGCCAGCCTGGGTTATATAGGGAATTCAGACCAGCTGGACCTACACGGAGACCCTGTCTCAAAAAGACCAAAAAATGGGAGGGGGGGTCTGTGTTGATTTGAATTTGTAGAGATATTTTATTGTCATTATTCCTGAAATAATGCATCTATATTGCAACCACATGGTGGAGAGAGCTTTAGAGACAAAGTGAAGAAGCCCAAATGCCAGAAGAGGGATACTTGGGCTCTGGCCAGCACCTGAAAGAAAAAGAAAGAAGAGGGGCTGGAGATGGCTCAGTGGTTAAGGAGCCTGTCTGACACTTTTAGAGGACCCAAGTTCAGTTCTCAGCACCCATGTCAGGTGGCTTACAACCACCTGTAACTTTAATTGTGGAATTTTCTGTGGGCTCCTGCACTCATATACAAACAACATATGCATACATGTAATTAGAAATAATTTTTGAAAAATTTTAATAAATTTTAGAAAGAAAAAGAAGAAAAAGGAATAGTTCTGCCTTTCTGAGTTAGGATTCAGGGCAACAGATTCAGCTTAAGTCACAGCCTCATGGCAGCTCATAGGGACTGCATGAGGGGACAGGAATTCTGCAAAGTAAATTATCTCATTACAGAGCTAGTTATTCCTGTCTCTGTAGCATAGTTTAGGGTGGGCCTGTCCTCTTGAGAGATGGTCCCTTGGCCAGGTGACTGAACTGCCAAACTGGATTAACTTTTTTTTATTATTTTTTATCTGTATATGTGTATTGCCTACATTAGGTAAGTGCATCTGTGT